TATTTAGTGAAATAGGAAAAAAAAAAAAACTTTAGAAATCATCCCTTCAAGATTTAAAAAGCCTGTTGAAACTTAGGGATGATAAAACACAGAAGTGAAATGAAAATATTGCTTGCAGCTGAAAACCTTTGTCAAGGAGTTTTCTCTAAGGGTGGCAAGCTTTGAAACACGTGACCTTTTAACCATAATATCACTTATAATACATCATACTAAAAAAAACAAAAAAAACAAAACATTTTTGACACACAAAAATATCTTTAATTAGGGTAGAAAGTTTTGGGAGTATGATTTGTATTGAGATTTTAGTTTTTGCTTAGTAAATATAGTCTTCAATTAATAACTTAAAAACCTATCTTGTACTCTGGAAGTATTTTAAAACGTTTTTTTAAACAAAGAAAAGTGAAAACAATTCTTGAAAAATTAAAGAAAAATGCAAAATTCTGGTAAAAATTAATTTTTCATCAAAAATTTTTTTCTTTTCTTCAGACAATAACGTCCCTAATGCATGTTATTCAGAAAAGCAAATAAAAGCTTATCTAATTAGATCTTTTTATTGCAGTGTTTATTTTACGATTTGGAGCAGAGTTTTAAAAAGTTGGGAGTAGTTGCAAAAAAAAAAAAAAAAAAAAAAAAAAATTAATGACTTATTTTTCCAAGGAGTCCTGCTTATAAGTAATATAAAACAATTTGTGAACCCTTTTTCAAATCCTAGAAAATTTCATAAAATTAAGTTGGGAGAAATGGGTAACGTAAAAAAAAAAAAAAAAAAATTTGGGGGCAAGATTTTCTAAAAATAAAAATTTCAAAAATAAATTCATTCATTTTTGAATAAGTCCTGAAAGTTTCATTAAAATCAGACAATGTGATTTTTGCAAGAATTCCCAAATTAATGTGTTTTACACTGGAAACTGCTACACTAAAAATGTCCATTACCACAAGTCTTACAAAGTTGACAAAAAAAAAAAAAAATTTTTGAGCCAAATTTAGAATGTGTTAGAAAGGAGGAAAATTTTTTTTTTAAAAATACTTAAATACTTTGTTTTTATTAAATTTGGGGCTTTTATCATGATGCTATACTTTTTTTTTTATTGAATTATTGGAGGCACCTAATTTACATTGTAGGGCAAAAGTTAAATAATTTTCATTGCTGTTTTGATTTTCTTGTAATTTCTACAACAGCCCACATCCTCCAAAATTTAAGCAAGCATTATGCTTGCTTTTGTAGAATGCCTTTTGGCATTTTATGGATGCATCATTAAATATATCCACATTGGAGGAGTTTGCAGATAAACTTGCCTGTATTTATTTATAAGATGATCCAATAGGCTTTGTGGTACTAACACACCTAATGGCAGTTTCTTGTCTAAACAATCCTGTTCTTAGATTGAGCATGATGTCCAACCTGTGTGCATGCATGCATATATATATATATATATATATATATATATACACACACACACACCTTTCATTATAAAATTTGGGCCTTCCAGCTATACTTTGTGTAAATAGGTTTCATTCTGATTTATAGACTAGAATACCATTATAAACATTATTTTAGTGAATACAGGTTTGGATTAGACATCCCCATTTTTTAAAGAGTGTGGATCGGATCTGCTAAATCATCATTTAAAACCTAAAGTGTAAAAGATAAGAGAAATGTAAAACTGTAAATTGCATATCCAGCCTACTAAAGAAGAATAGTTTAATTAAAGCATAGGTATTTAGAAATATCTTCACCCCCTTCACAATACTTAGAATTAGCAATAAAAATCTGACAGATACATCTTTCTAGTTCTTCATAAAAATGTATGTAATATAAAAACTCAGTTTTGTTATATTCTTATAATCTGATCAGTTTGATACTAAATAGGAGTTATTAACATCAGAAACCAAAATTACTCATTTCATGTGAGAATATCAGAAAATTGAACAGACAAAACAGGACATTTTTTTTTTAAAAAGAAAACAGCAGAAGACTGGGTCATTTCAGACTCAGTTTCTTTATTAATGTTTCCATGATACACACAGCATACACTGAATCATACAGCTTTGTTTAGAGAGAACTGCTAGAATTGTATTTAGTTTTTTTTTTTTTTTTTATTTATGGACAAGTATTTATCCTTGTTTAACTAATCAGGGATTTTGATTTAACTTTTCTACACTTGGGAGTAAAGTACATCAGGAAAAACAGCAGCAAAAGATCAATGTTAAGTCATAAGAAACAAAATGAATTAAGCAATGTTAAAGAAAGAAAAAATGCTTTTTGAAGTTTAACCTTTTTGGAGACTGAAGTGAAGACAAGACAGAGAAGAGAACCCTGAATAGTTACAAAAACAATTTTTATGATGTGTAGGGAAAAAAATTCTATTAGCAAAGTCCACTCTGCAGATGCACACAAACTGGAGACATTATCAAAAGGAAAAAGAGTAAGTAAAAGGGATAAAAAAAAATATTTTCTTTGCTTATTTTGGGAGAGTTCTTTGAGAAAAAAATAAATAGTCATTTTTTATATTTATTTCTGGAGTTGTATTTGTCTTGTTAATTCCAATAAAGTCATTTGGAGATTTGTCCTTGGAGAATCACAAATAAGTTTAATGGGAAAAGGAATCCTCCTCTTCATCAACTTCCAATTGGGATAGGGGGATTGAAGTAAAGGACAGAACAAAAAAAACTTCTTCCCTATATATTTTAACTGCTTCTTTTTTGTTTAAAAAATCCAGTGTCTCAAGAAAGATCACCAGGTATATAGAGACCACAGGTACAAAATAGGTATGTGCATGTGTCTGTCATTGCATAATGAAGACAGTCAGCAGATCCCCACAAACATTGGGAGAGTGAAAAGAAACAACAGTAACAATTACAACAATAGAGAAAAATAAAAGGCTTTTTTTACCCAATTCTCTGTATTTTAAAACAGATCAATTTTAGCCTTTTTTTTTACCCCTACTTCACTCTCCCCTTAAGACAATGCAATAACAATTGGGGAGAAACAATGTTTTAACACAATTGCATTAACTCTTAGAGAACATTTAAAAAGGAAAAATTCACCAGTGCAAATGATTTCAATAAAAAAAAAAAAAGTTAGGAATAATGTTTCACAAAAAAAAAAAAGAATTTGAAATTAATCTAGAGAGAAGAAAAAAAAAGTTCTTTTTAGTATTTTTGAAAAAAAAAAAAAAAAAATGTTGTTGTTCATTGGAAATAGATAAGTGCATACATCTCATTTCTTTGTAGCCAGAGTTGCTAAGAATCATAAAATAGATATTTACTTCACTTTTTTCTTTTATGGTTACAAACACACAAAAGGTAAATAAATAACTCAGGCCACGGATAGTAAATTTTGCTTTGCTTTTAGTTAATTACTGATTATCACTTGTTTTTTTAAAAAAAAAAAAAAAAAAATCTTTGTATGAAAGTCTTTGTGACATCAGTGTTTAAAATATTTTATCATTGGGGAAAAAAATTGTATGTTTGAAATTATATGAAATTTTTTTTTAATTTTTTTTTTTTTTTAGAAGTAATGGTTTAGTAGTAGTTTTGCTATTTAAAGTAAAGACTTAATATATCTATGGTAAATGGTTATGACTTCAACAAAAGTAAGAATGAAACCAAAAGAACATGTGCTCCTTGTACAAAGTTGTTTCTATAGCAACCAGCTGTCAACAGTAGAATGAGGATTACAATGTCTCATCCATTTCTATCTCTCTTAGATGAGAAGTCATCTTACCCGTTAGATGTTAATAGTGCATGAGAGAAAGGTAATTGAGAAGAATATCACTAATATTTATCAACATTCACACAGCAACAGGAAGGGTTAAACAAAATAGATTTCCTGAAATTATATATAGAAACAATTACAAGAAAAAAAATATTAAAGCCTTTCTACTTTAAAATTAGTAACTAAATGCCTTTTGCTAAATTGCTTGCAAATATCATTCACATGTAGAAAATAAAGACAAAAGATAAAATCTGTTAGTAAATAATCAAGCATAGAGACAAGCATCAACTGTAAGTGTGGAAAGTTGGTAAAGATTTCACTCCCAAGACTTGAAAACTGTTGAAAATAAGGTTTATATCAACATTCCCCCACTCGCCTATATACATTATGCAGTACAGCAGAAAGAGTTAAAATAAATTTTAATATCTATATTCAGAATTGTAAATATGTAAATCTAATGAACCACTTTTGGAAAATGTATAAATTTAAGAAACTTTAGCATAATTATAGAAATAACCAACTAGAATGAAGAAACAATCCAATATTCTGTCAAATCATTAAAAAAATTTTCAGGTTAAAATAATGTCATTACATATCTTTTTTATAGAACTGCATTTTAAAAGTAATTTGACAAATTAAATTTTGTAGATAAGAAAACTATGGTCATGAAATAATTGAACAAACTGTAGAATATATGAAATATGCTAGATTTGATGTAGGGAAGTTGCCTTTCCAACATATTCTCCACTCCTGTACTGATTCTAAGATGCATTTAATGAGCAATCTAATAAAAAAAAAAAAAAGAAAAAAAAAAAAATTTTATATAACAAATAGAAAAGAAGGAGAGAAGGCTGTGTTGATAAATTGCATTAGTCAATTTGGATAAGGGACCAAATCAAAGTAACTTGCTGAAATCAGTTTTGTTCCCTGTTAGTGGAATGTTAAGGGAAACAAGATGGAGAAAGATTAAAAAACTTGTCAACAGAACAGTCAAGTGTCACCAGGCTCTATTCTACTCAACAGGAAGAGGAGGATGAAGAAAAAAAAAAAAAGGATGAGTCATTCAGTTTTTTTCTCTATGTCTCTGAGCAGATGACAGCAGTGTCAGGTGTGTAGAGTTTTGCTGACTGTGTGTAGAGATTTGCTGGCTAACAATGGGGAACATCTTTTTACAGTGAGATGAACCACTGAGAGAAAAAAAAAAACACTTTCTCACTCACATATACACAGGTCAAGCATACAAACCAACCAAACTTTAAAGTAATACTAAGATCAACCGATGTTACAATTCTCCATTATTTCTCTGTGAAGGACTTTCTTTGCTCGGTTCTTTTTTGCTATTTTTTTCTGTTGGTTTGGCACTTTCTGTGTCTGAAAAAAATGAAATATCAAAAATAAGTGAAATAAAAAGGTATTTAATCAAGACTATTTCAATCAATGCTAGAAGTGCATCTCTTCTTAACACAATATTGTTATGCAGATGGCCAACCTTTCACACATGCATAAAAAAAAATGATACATTGTTGAATTGGATGTGGCACATTATATCCCAGTATTTTTTTTAACCAATCAGTTCACAATTGACATTCACATGATACAGAATTCGGTTTTATTCTTTTAAATTTTAATTTCCCATAAAACAAAAGAAAAAAATTGAGGAAACTCTATATTAACATTTTAAAACTAATTTTTACTTAATCATCTAATGCATTTAACATTTAAATTTAGTGTTTTTCAATAGGTGGATTTTGAACATGTTTTATTTAACAACTGAAATTTATGACAGATTCTGAAAGGTGATATTTTAATACTTCTTCCTTATACAATTTGGGAGTGGTTTGTGAAATGTTAAAAGTGCAAATGAAATAAAATGTTTTCATTTGTTATTTGATGCTCTTATTTCTAAAAAGGGAATAAACACTGTACAAACAACATAAAAGATGTGTGGTTATAAAAATGGTGTCATCCCTGAGAGTACAGTTTGTAAGTGATTTCCTAAGTTCAGAATTGGAAATTTTAATCAAGAAGACCAAAAACGTTTTGGCAGGCCTACAGTGGTTGATGACAAAATTGAAATGCTGATTAAAAATAATCACACAACATGAGTCATTGCAGAAATACTCCAAATATCTCAGATGAGCAATGTAAGGAATTTAAAGACACTTGCATACAATGTTTGGGTGCCTCCTGATTTAACAAAAAGAAAAAATATTTAATAGACTGCATTTCAATCTGCAATGCCCTACTCAAGCACAACAAAATTGACCCATTTTTGAAAAGAACAGTCACTGACAATGAAAAATGGACCGTTTACAACAATGTAAAGTGAAAACGTCTTGGGGAAAATGAAATAGGCCACCATTGACCACTTCAAAAGTTGATTTACATCTGAAGAAGGTGATGCTGTGTATTTGGAATTGGAAGGGAATTGTTTATTATTATTATCTCTGCAAAATCAGATGTTGAATTAGATCAGTTAAAGGCAGTAATCAATGAAAGGTGCCTGGAATAAAAACACCAGACCTCATGTTTCTGAAGAACTAGCAGAAATTGTTACAGCTTAGTTGGGATCTACTACACCTACTGTACTTATCTGAACTTGCATATTCATATCAACACTTATTTCAATCTCTACAAAATTCTCTTAATTCAATTTTATGGAAGCTTGTAAGAATCATTTAGATCAGTTCATCACTGGGAGAAGCTGCCTCAAAGATGGTGAAAGGTAACAAAACGAAATAACACATATTTTGAACTGCATATCTAAATATTGTCTTTGAAATTCAGTTAATTGCTACAAACTGTTGTTCCTACCAAACATTAAAAATTCTATTATGAAAATTTCTCATTTTTGTACAGTAAAACAGATTTAGTCACTATTTCTTTTAAATGATTTGTATCTGTTTACTTTCATTTATGTTATTAAGACAATTATTTTATATACAATGAGCATTTCTTATTTTACAATTTCATAATATACTCTGGTTTACTTTTGCTGCAATCATTTCAGTTCATGCCTTATATTTTTGTAATAGTAATTTAAATCAGTTGTGAATATTTTTTTTGCAATAAAATTACCTTTAATCCTATATCAATAATTATAGCAAAATTTACTTAACTATTTGACCAATTTTGTCAACTCTAAGATTAAATAAAAAAGTCACAGTAAAAGCCAAAATTAATCAAATTAGAAATTTCAACCAAAGTGAACTATTTACATCTTTGCATATTTTATAATTATCACACAACAGACAGCTTTATCAAAGTAAGAAGCCCATTCACTGAAATACATGTCAGAGAAATTGTCATTTTTTTTACATGTTAAAAAATACTTTATATATTTAATACAGGCAATGACATATGCAGTTTATGTGAGCACATGTTGATACGAAATACATTTGTGAAAAAGTCAAACTTGCATTTGGAAGTGCCATTCTTATATATATATATATATATATACTACAGTTAAGTTTTTCATGTATTAATACTTAGAGGTAAGATATTGCCCTGAATATATCATAATGAAGTGAACTAAAGTAATACAGCATATTAACAAATCACATAAATGTGTATATAATTGCAACAGTAACAAGGAAATAGTAGTAATGCTATACAGCAGTAATTTTGAAAATCCTAGTACTTTAAAAACACTTATAGTACTGATACAAGCTTGCATTACACATTTTATTGGAAATGCTTAAGCTAGGACTTATGATCCTTGAAAAAAAAAAAAAAAAAAAACAAAACCTTGGACTAGAAAAGGAAAATATGCAGAAATTTCCTACAAATTTCCATCTGCTAAATTATATTTTTATACTTTATGCCTCTGACACAAACAGTAATTCTTGTAGTAAGTATTTCTCTAATATTTTTCAATTTATTACCTTACCTAGGTAAGTATAGCTATATATTTTTATGACAAAATTATTAAAAGATTAAGTAACAGAAAAAAAAGTATATTCTTAATACATTCAGCAATAAATCAATCTTATTTCAAAAGAAAAAGCAAAGTGTATTGTTTATAAGGAATAAGATCTATCCTAATATAGAAGGGATAAGAAAGGAAACTCAGAAGGGAAGGACCTTCAATAGCCATTAATTAAAACAGCAAGACTCACCACTCATTACAACTTCTTCTTGCTCATTCTTAGGTTCCACACTAGGTGAGGAATCAACTTTTGGAGAGGAAGGCTCTTCAGTTGATGCAGAATCTGATGAGATCAAGGGCAAGATACAGAAATGAGAAGCAGCTCAAACGTGCTATTACTATCACTGAGTAGAAAACAGATACATGCACTAAGCCTACTTCCGGATAATAAAGACCTTAAATTCATAAAATGTTTCTGCTTATGCTGGAAGCAACCTATCTCTCAAGTAACTCTTACACAAATATTGTGTAATGGCATTAAATTTGAAGCACCAAGTATTAAAGGTTCAACCAAAATATTAACTCATACAGTATATCTTATAGGTATAAAAATTAATGGTTAGTATTTTCTAATATGATGAAAGCATCAAAATGTGTTTATCTTTAAGATAAATTTTCAAAAGAAACACAGTATCTAAGTCAGGAGTAATATCTAATCTTTGATAACATTTTTAAAGATTAATAGGTTTCAGAAAACAAAATATCAAATAAAATATTCCTGTTTTATAGACAAACTATTTTCCTGGTTGTAACCTGTTGCCTTAAAAAATGAAAAAAAAAAAATTGTAAATGTTTCTCTGATGCTATTTATCGCAAAACTCATTTTATTTCCAATATTTTATATGATCTTGGCATCATCTTTCAGTTTAGGAATACTAGGAACCAAATAATGTTTAAATAGATCCAATTTCACTTGTTGGACATATGAGAATTCTGTTAACCATTTTAGAATTCAAAATTATACACAAAGAGTTTTTCTATTTTTATATAAAATTAGCCTTAAATTTATGGACCTAAACTAGGAAATAAATGTAATGTATGACTGTGTAAAGATTAATGATTCTAAAGTTTAAAAATCATTAATATATTTTAGTAAAGCAGCTTGAAAGTTAAATGCAAATATTTATGCCTATTGCTTTTTTCCTCTTTATCCACCATCATTTAAATATCTAAAGGAAGTAAAGAAATTTATTAAAAAAATATGTTACATGCTTAGAATAACTGAGTAAATATTTTGACATTAAACTGAGTTAAGACAGATTGGTATTCAAGAATGTAAATTGTTTGGACTGTTCAGTTTTGAACAATATTTAAGTTACACTGAATCAATTGGCAATAACTGTTCTTCATGTTAAGAGTGAGAAAGATTATAACAAAAATACTGAACTTTAATTTCCTTTCAGAATTAATGTGCAGTTCAAACAATTAGCTCCAATGTTATCAAAGCAATAAAGTATTTTACATTACAATGAACATAGTAAAAAATATATCCATGAGCAATAATTAAGAAAAAAAGTACACATAAGCTTTTCTCTAATGTTACTTTACATATTAGTGATGAGATGGGTTTATGAATTTTGATAAGAGCTAGATTCTGGATACTTATTTTCCAGTAAAAGTGACAACCATGTAAAATATGTTACAAGTATTATATACCATTAAGGCAATACTTTAGCTGGAGTGAATTGTAATACTTGTAGATGCCTAACTTTCCCACCACTCTAACATAGCATACCTTTTCTATAAATATTTTTATGGTAATTGTTCTGATGAGATTTCCTCTTGTCTAGATTTTATGAATTTAAGCATACAAGATTGGCTGCAAGGTCTTGTTATTTTAATGTTGAAATGGCTAGATGTAACTAAGTTCTATGCTAACAGTTTCATCTCTTGCACTTCTTGCTTGTGGAATTCTGGCTTCTTGCCTTGAAGTCAACTTTGACATTCCCAAAAATTTAAATGCAATGTCAATCATTATCTTCAGTCTTAATTCCTATACTTTTATTGTTCTCTCTCCTTAATGCTTTTTTCCTGTTGTCCTCTCACTCAGTACCTTCTTCATTTTAGTAGCTTTATTGCCTTGAAATGATTAACAAAAAAAAAAAAAAAAATATATATATATATATATATATATATATATATATATAAAAGAAATACTCTTAAGTTGTGCTATATTTATGGGATAAAGTGCTCAATATCAGAGAGCATGTGTAAATATAAAAGTGAACATTGATGTCAACACTTACAGGTGACAGACTGTTTCATGCTAGACGCAATCGTCAGGCCACAAATGCTGTTTTTTTTTTTCGTATTTATATATACGGGCCAGTGATGCACTGTCGGTAGTCTATTTTGGTAGTTATTTTGCCAAAAAATTGTTTATTTGGGTTAGATTATTTTGCTTGTTTTTATTTATTTTTATTTCTTATCTTGTATATTTATTTATTTTAATTGGTGTTTTATTAATGTAGTAAAAATTTGTATCGCATATTTGATAGTTTAGGTTTGAGAAGACAAAGCTATTTATTCAATTTTGGGGTTGATTGTTGTAGTTTATTCTATTATTTTGGCAGGAGCAGTTTGTAATTTGTTTATTACTTCATTCATTTGTTTGTTTATTACTTCATTTATTTATCTTGTTTTTTCTAACGATTAATTTATTGGGATCGGTTTGTTAGTAACATTTTTTTTATATAACAGTTATAGCTATGTTTTTCATCCAATTTTTGTTTGATTTTTATAGTCTAATATTTTGGTCATAATTGTTTGTTAATTTGTTTATTTACTTTATTTGGGTTCATTGATTGTTTTGTTTTATTTTATTTAATTATTCTATTTCATCTATTTTTAATGAGTGTGATTTGGTAATTTGTTTGGGTTAATTTATTTTACTTATTTTATTGTCATTTTGTTTATTTAATTTTTTTTTGTTTTCAATTTTTAAGTAATGTAGTAAAAATGTTTTCATTTGTTAAAAATCGAAAACTGAATAAATAAAATAAATAGATAAATAAATGACAATGAAATAAGTAAAATAAATTAACCCAAACAAATTACCAAATCACACCCGTTAGAATAGACAAAATAGAATAAATAAAAATTAAAAAACAAAATCAATGAACCCAAATAAATAAAGTAAATTATAAACAAATTAAACCATTATGACCAAAATATTAGACTATAAAATCAAACCAAAAATCGGAAGAGAAACATAGCTATGATGATAAAAAAAAAAATACGTTACTTAAAAATCAAAAACTGAAAAGAGTAAATAAAAATATACAGCATAATAAATAAATAATAAAAAGCAAGTAAAATAAATTAATCTAAATTAATCCAAATAAATAAACAAACTGATCCCGATAAGTTAATCATTAGAAAAGACAAGTAAAGATAATCAATCCAAATAAATGAATGAAGTAATAAACAAATTAAAAACTGCTCCTGCCAAAGTAATAGTTAGAATAAACTACAGCAATCAACCCCAAAATTGAATAAATAGCTTTAATGATCTTCCCAAACTTAAACAAAACTATTAAACAAGCGATACAAACAAATTTTTACTATGTTAATAAGACACCAATTCAAATAAAAATAAATATATAAGATAAAAAATAAATAAAAACAAGCAAAATAATCTAACCCAAATAAATAAATAAACAACTTTTGGCAAAATAACCACCAAAATAGATTACCCACAGGGCACCAGTGGCGCGTATATATAAATAGCCAAGAAAAAAAACAGCACTCGTGGCCTGACGATTGTGTCTAGCATGAAACAGTATGTTCACTTAAAATAGCTGTTTGAAAAAGGAAAAGTAATGCAATACAACTGGTCTTGTAGCTAAAACTATGAATGGAGAAAATGTGGATATTGTCAATTTAAGAAACTAAAATTCCTCGGGTTTGATGTAGATAAGAAGACCATAATTTCTTTCCCCAAACACAGAAAAAGGTTATGGTAGAGAGAGACAGCATTCCCTTACCTTTTGTTTCATTTTCTGCTTTAGGTTTCTTTGTAGAGTCTGCTTTGTCTGTGGAATTTGTTGTGTTACTCTTTTCTTGAGGTTTTGTCTTTGGTTTTGCCTTGTAGCTCTTGGCTTTGTACAAAAGATAATTAACTTCTCTGTCCAAATCACGGATCTTGAGGGCAATGTCCTCAACCAGCAGTTTTGGTTTTTCATAGTTTGGTGTCTTTGCTTGTTCTGCTATCATATTGTCACGCCATGCCTAAATGAAAGATAGAGAAAGGGAAGATATTGAACCATAAATACTGTTAAACTGTAAACCTTTTACTGATTCAAGCTGTTTTATCAATGTGTACCTTGCCTAATTAACAGCCAGTACCAGACTAACACAAACACCCTTGTTTGACACTATTCTTTTAATGAATGTTATATGCTGGGCAGAGAGGGCTTGCTGGACCAAAGTCAAAAGCCGGCATGGAAGGTTCCTCGAAGTCAATGGCAATGTGTTTATGACCAAGGAAAGCTTTCAAGTCATAGGATATCAGCTGTGGTCTGATGAGAAGAGGGATAGGCTCTGTCAGATTTACTTTGCCCAAGACGCACTACACATGAATGAATACCTACCAAGACATAGGGGTAGAACTAGTCATTATGACTGATGATTATATTTACCAGGAAATGCAGTATTCAGTTCTTGTACTCAGAAACAATGTAATTATGATTTATAAACATACAGCAAGATGCAGTCAAAACAGGTTATATCATGATTGAAGAACTGCAATCTTATTAGGTTTATCAAAAATAATTTAAAAACATTTGATTTCTCAAAGTCATATTGAAGTATATATTTCTTTAAGCTCCATTTAATTTTATTTTGTCTACTAGCCCAAACATTTGCATATAATACTACACATGCTATACCATGTGGTTTACACATAATTGGAAAAAAATTCACGTTTCAAAAGATCTAAAACACTCTAAATTATATCAAAATTACCTAGAGTAAAAAATTTTTGGAAATTTTAACTTGGCTGCCTAAATTCTCCTGACTTTTTTCCAACTCAATTTGTATGGAATGAATTGTGTAGGAGAGTTCAAAGAGTTTTTCCAATGCTTGAAGAATGCTTGGGAATGTTTTCCATCTACTTTTTTTTTTTAAAAAACTCTTTGAAAGAATGACAAGAATTTGTAAAGCGGTAATTAAGGCAGGTGGCAGTTTTATTGATGGAAAGAAAATATGATGCTGTTGTATGATAATTTTTCATAGTTAAGTGCTTGTTTGTTTGTTGAAATAAAAGCAAACACTAAAAACTATACTGTAGTTAGTGAAACGTTATCTTAAAAAATAAATAAAATACAAAAATATTTTAAGGTGTTTTTTTTTATTTTTAAAGAAATGCATGGTGGCCACAAACATTTTCCTGGTTGTCTGTGTGTGTGTTTCAATTTAAAGTCAAAATCCAACAAGGAAAATGAAAAAGTTATTAATGCAATCAGGATTAGGGAATGTAAAGTGGTCAATCACTTGTATGAAGTTAGAAACTTAGTATACTTTTGAGTTTTAACAGGCTTAAAAAGAGAGAAAAAAGAGAAAAAAAAGAAAAAAGAAAAAAAAAAAAGAGAAAAAGAGAAAAAAAAGAAAAAAAAAAGAGAAAAAAGAGAAAAAAAAGAGAAAAAAAAGAGAAAAAAAAAGAGAAAAAAAGAGAAAAAAAAGAAAAAAAAGAGAAAAAAAGAAAAAAGAGAAAAAGAGAAAAAAGAAAAAAAAAAAAGAAAAAAAAGAAAAAAAAGAGAAAAAAAAGAAAAAAAGAGAAAAAAAAAAGAAAAAAAGAGAAAAAAAAAAAAAGAAAAAAAGAGAAAAAAAAAAAGAGAAAAAAAGAAAAAAAAAGAGAAAAAAGAAAAAAAAGAAAAAAAGAAAAAAGAAAAAAAAGAAAAAAAAGAAAAAAGAAAAAAAAGAAAAAAAAAAAGAAAAAAGAGAAAAAAAAAGAAAAAAAAAAAAAAAAAAGAAAAAGAGAAAAAAAAAAAAAAAAAAGAAAAAAAAAAAAAAAAAAAAAAAAAAAAAAAAAAAAAAAGAAAAAAAAAAAAAAAAAAAAAAAAAAAAAAAAAAAAAAAAAAAAAAGAGAAAAAAAAGAGAAAAAAAAAAAAAAAAAAAGAAAAAAGAAAAAAAGAAAAGAAAAAAAAAAAAAAAAAGAAAAGAAAAAAAGAAAAGAAAAAAAGAAAAGAAAAAAGAAAAGAAAAAAAGAAAAAAAAAGAAAAAAAAAAAAGAAAAAAAAAAAGAAAAAAGAAAAGAAAAAAAGAAAAGAAAAAAGAAAAGAAAAAAAGAAAAGAAAAAAAAGAAAAAAAAAAAGAAAAGAAAAAAAAAAAAAAAAAGAAAAAAAAAAAAAAAAGAAAAAAAAAAAAAGAAAGAAAAAAAGAAAAGAAAAAAAAAAAAAAAAAGAAAAGAAAAAAAAAGAAAAGAAAAAAAAAGAAAGAAAAAAAAAAATCACTCAGGTAATCTGGGCTTTATCTGAACTTGCCTTATCTTTTTTTTTCTTTAAAAAAGACACAGAGCAGTTAAAAAGTTGCAATAGAGAAATTTATACAACTGTATATTTCTATACTTGAATAAAAAATATGGCAATGTAAAAAAATTTTTTTTTTACTTACATAGGTCTCATTGATCAGCTTGCCAAGGGTATTAGCCTCAACCAGAGTGAACACAGGGTCATCTCCAAGGGTAAGGTTACGGACAGACTTGAGGAAATATTCAGATTGATTTAACATATTTCTCAAAGCCTCCAGAGCTTCTGGTCGTTCTAGTATTTCTTTGACACGCATCTTAAGGTCCTTTGTTGACTCCACTAATACATGTAATTTATCTACATATTCCTAATAATTGAATTAATAAAAATTAGGAATAATAAAAAGACCAAAAACTGAAAATGAGAGTAGAATTAGGAAAAAAAAACTTGAGTGGATTTATCTTTTTATATAATCTGATCTTATTTGGCTAAATATTTGGAGGAGTTATTCAACTTGGTTAAATGAGCCATTATACACAAATTGATTCTTAGTGTATTGAAGATAGTATTTCTAAGTTTTGAAAATTATAATAAAGAGAAATTAGGTTAATTAGACATTACTTATTCCATTTATTAGAAGTACAGTTTTAATGCATATTAACTAATATTTATATAGTGCAGTTTTACAGTTGCAAAGAAAGAATAGCATGCACTTGCAACAAAAATTTTCTTTAAAAGAAAAACAGTAGAGGATTTATATACCTTTGTTGGGGTATCATCTCCCTGTTCATATAACCAGTCTGAAGCCTCTGAACATTTTTTGCTGATAATTTCTCTTTGTTCTTCAGTCGAACATTTTATGTAATCATCTTGTGCCAATTTATCTTGAATGTCAAAAATGAATGCCTCAAGTTCATTTTTGGATCGCTCTAAAGCTTTCTTTTCTTCATCTTTCTGTTTTAACAAGGCTAAACTGAGAGGAAAGAGAAAAATTTATTCAAATATATGTGTATGCCGATGTGTAGAACAAGAGGATTTAATCAGAGATGCATTTTTTTTAGAAAGAGGATTTAATCAGAAATGCATTTTTTAGGGTTTAAAAAAAAAGTAATTATATATAACAAATACACAATGTTGCAAAGCTCAGGCAAAATCTTGTTAAACAGCAACATAGCATATAAAGTTTATTTCTTTTAGCATTAAATGGAATTCCATTTTAACTAACTTTATTCAAAAAGATTGTTTTTGATTGTATGACACTTAACAGCATGAAGTAAAAGGAGAATTGTCAAATATGGTTTATTTTTACCTATTGAAAATAGAAAGACAATTTTACAAGTGAAAAAAAAAAGGAAAAAAAAACTGACTCAAAAATATATGCAATTTCTGGAGGAGGTATTGTAAATAATCAAATGTACCTAAAATCTGATTCATTTTTGTGGTGAAAATGAATTCCATGGTTGGAGTTTACTAGATGAAGTTGATCATGATCAAATAAAGTCATTACTTGAAAAATAATCATCCTTATATGATGGAAATAGCCAATATACACAAAACATCCAAATCAAGTTTGGAGATGTTAGCCATTGATGTTGGACTTTCAGATAAAAATCTTGTTTTTTGAAAAAATATGAGGGGTAATAAAAAAGAGTATTTACAATAATGTAGAATGCAATAGATCATGGGACAAAACGAAATGAATCGCAAAAAAGAAAAAGTGATGCTGTGTATATGGTGGTATTAGGAAAGAGCCATCTATGATGATGAACTCCTTCCAAAGATGCACAAATGATTTGATCAAATAGTGTTCTAATTAGATTAATTGACAAAACTGAAAACAGTTAAGAGTATAATATTCTATTGGGCTAATGATAGATTTCATCTTTGTTTGGTGACCGAGTGAAAATTGTTACTGCTGGATGAGAATATTTCACTTATTTACTGTATTCAACAGTTATTGCACCTTTAGATTACCATATATCCTGATATTTACAGGACAATAAAGAATCTTTTTCAATTATCTGGAAAATTGCAAAAGGCACGAAGAACAATTGTTTGCAGAGAAATGTAAAATTCAGGGATATTAGTATTATAAAGTTGCTGGAAAAATGACAGAAGATAGTTGAACAAATTGACAAATATATTATATTTGTAAAGGGGAAATAAAATTAGAATAAAATCTCACCCATTAAAGCAAATGTCACAAGGTAATAAGTTTCTCAAATTAATACTCTAAGACTGAAAATATCAAAAAGAAATTTTGAATTTCTTTTCTATTTAGTTATTAAATTCAAAACAAAAATGTAAAACAGATTCTTTCTTTACCGATTTTTGGAGGCTTTCATTGTTCCTTCAGGCATTGGCACTAAATCCATAAGAGCAATATCAATCTTCAAATTTTCTTTTAAAATAGTGGGTTTCTTAGCTTTTATAGCCTCAGCTTTATCCTGAAAGAAAAAAAAAAAGATTTTAAAGTACAAACATTCAAAATAGTAAGAAAAATTTTAAATCATTATTTAATAATCTAATTAAGAAAAAGTGTTTAATGTAAGAAAGCAATCCTCTTTGTGTGTGTGTGTGTGTATATATATATATATATATATATATATATATATATAGCACCTGAATGTGTGTTTCAATTCACTAAAGATTAAACAGTTATAATAAATCACATATACAGATCAATATGTTCACAGGTTCCAAAATAACAAGTCTTCCAACAGTACTCAGATCCTATATTAATACATTATATATACTCTAGGCATGTTAAAAAGGCTCTATTCACACATGCATAAAAATAGCAGAGATAATGAATACACTCCAGCTTTTCATTGATTTTGATGAGTATCTATGCTATGTTTCAGAACCTGGTCTAGGAGCATAAGAATGTTTGGCTGCTAACAATGAAGCCCTGTCAACTTATTCATCATGTGCAGCAATTCTCCAAAATAATCAATCTCTCACAGGCCCACAATCAAAACTAATTGAACAAAAGAAGCACATGTGGGTCTCCATGACATGGCACCTGGTTGCATTGGACATTCATCACACAAAATCATCACAGCATGTGTCACAATCTGAAGTTGAAATACAGACTGCACAAGCTTGATTGTTACTCTGCCACAAGATGGCCAAACGAGTAAAAATTTCATCAGAATATCTTTTACCTTTGAACATGCATATACTATATGCCACATATAAATTTGTTTCAGCCTTCAATGTTGCAATTTTATTTTCTGCCAGGATATAAACATACAATTACACAATTTTTCATAGTAAATGAGGGTATATGCACAAAAAGTACCGTTTCACTGGAACTTGACTTTTCAAATTTATCCTGCAAAGTTAAAATGTCATGAAATCTGGATATGCATGTCGGTATATTATAAAATGTAATCACTTAAAATATTCTGATGGTACATCTCAGTGCAAGTACAGGAATATTATACATGAATTTTTGACAAGAAAAAAAATATTTTTATTTAATTGATTATTTTAAAGTCCTAAAATGTTAGAAAATGTATCACATTAAACCATGTTGAAATGACAGCAATTAAGTAAAAAGTTAATATACATCTTTACCAATTTGAGTTAAAAAGGCTAGATAACAGAAACTAGTATAATTCTATGACATTCTCTTATCTGAATTCTTTTTGATTCTTTGATGAATTCATGTTTTCATGAAAAAGTTGACGAATGAGAATTAAGAAATATCTTGATCTTCTTTGTTTTAAGAAGACAGACAGTTTTATAATTACTCTTACCTGAGTGGTATTGGTCTGGTTTGTAGCATCAGGTTTTGCGGTTCCCTCATTAACTTTTTCTTTGTTACTTTCAGGTTTTTCACTCTTCTCTTGCTCAGATGACTTTTCACTCTTCTCTTCTGCCTTCCCAGCAGGTTTCTCAATCTTGAAAGATAATATTCTAATATAAAGATGGCTGACTATAAATGTATCATAAGCTTATTAAAAGAAGAAAATAAAATAATGAAAGAGTAGATTGCATTCTAATTTGATTAAGCTTTAAAAGGATTCTACCTGTAATTATTTAACCATATTGTAAAACTACATTTTAGTATGGTAGTAAAAAAAAAAGAGTCAGTAAGAGAATAAGCCATTTTTATAAACAGTAGATTTGTTTATTAACTGTTCATATTACTAAAAGTTACTTAAAACTTAACTACATCACCAAACATTGGTTAAGTTTTCTAAAATAGTCCATGAATTAGATATCTTTCATAAAGCATTCTAATTTTTAATTATAATAAAATGCCTAAGGTTATTGAATATAGTCATATAAAAATGTTTGCATTGTTCTTTTTATAAAACTTTTCACCAACTTGTGAAAAAAAAAGATTAAAGATTTCTTTTATACCCACATCTCTAGGCCTATATTGAAATCATTTATCTGCTCTATAAAATAGAATGTAGATTAAGAATTACATAACTTATGTTCGAATTAAAGTTCAGTAAGAGACAGGTTCTGCATTTTTTTGTCTTATACAACAAACAAAAATTTTTTTTTTAAAAGGCTTAAAACTTCTATAGCTCCTAAAGAATATTTTGAAATACAGTACAATCACAAGTCATATGTGTAATAAGATTATAAAGACAAATACTAAATCGTAACTTCATCTTTTTTCAATACATCACTGGATCATAATAAGAAAATATCTTTTTAGCTGAAAAACTTGGAGATTTTTAGATTGTCAATATGTTCCACTTTCAGTACTAGAAAAATCGTCTGATTTAAGATATACTTTTATGCTTCCTGAATAAACACTTTTCTTTCTTCTCTTGTTGAATATTAGAAGTACTCAGCCTTAAAGCGATATTAACTTCTTGCAGATAACATTTAAAAGTCTAGTAAGTTTTTCAACATAAACATTTTATTTCTAAATATTCAATAAGTGAAGAAGTTTTTGCAAAATGTCAATCTATTTAATGAAATGTGGCAAACCTTAAAAAACAGCGACATTTACTAAGTGTTTTGCAATATTTTTTATCTAATATTTTAATTAAGGTTTGTTAGTTTTTATGACATGCTTGTGCACTTGTTAACAGACACTGGATTTCAAGCTTTGAAAAAATAATTTTTATAATACAATGGTAACATCATCCAAGAATTAGTGACCTTGTTAATTTTGTATCTCTTGATCAAATAAAACAAAAATAATTTTTCCCCTATCATAAAAATGCTAAATATTTGACTTGTCATGTGACCTCTTTATGCAACCTGAAGAATTTATTCCTATTCAAAACAGTGCAAAGATAAATGAATAAAGCTACCTTTTCTTCCTTGGTTGCAGTCTTATCTTCCTGTCCTGCTGTACTTGAAGTATCTCCTGCAGTTTGAGTGGCATCAGCCTCTGGTGAGGAGGATTTGCTATCAGTTCCCTGGGAGTAAGCCAAACAAAATTCAAAATACTGCTTTACCCATTACCCGTGCAACCAATACCAAATTTGAACATGAAACAAGTTATTAGCACTTCAAGCATATTCTACACTTATTACAGGTTACTTACTGAAAGCTGTGTATTCTTTGCTATTCCTTTGTGGTGGTGTCTGAGTGAACTTAGTAAATAGAAGCCTTAATTTTATAACTTCAAAAATTCAAATAAATCTGATTTAATATAAATTTTCAAACACTATAAACATCATATCAGAAAAGCAACTGTTACAAATTCCAAAATTTCCAGAAGAATATTCTTAGCAAAAGCAAAGCCTAATATGAGTAGCAAAACAGAGAGAAAAAAGATGTGAAGCCAACCTGAGAAAAAATAAATTTCTCTATTTTATATAACTTCATAATAGTGACCAAATGACAAAGTACATTCGCAACATATTTTTTATAAATTATCTCCAAGTTTATTGAAACAAATATGATGAAGTTTATTTCTCAGAGATTTGGCTCAGCCACCAACTTGATAGATACATCATCAGTACCACCATTATGACAAAGTTTTAGGCTATATATACATTTAAGTTCTGGGCATATATATATATATATATATATATATATATAAATAAACAATAATTATTAAATAAAGTCTGTCTATACATATGACATAGAATTTATAAATATGTACAGAAAACAAGTAACATTTCTAAATAAATGTAGATCACAGAAACAATCAAATTAACTTTGTTTATTTAACTGATATATAAAACCCCAGAATAATTCAACACACAAGTGGTATATATTTTTGACCACTTCATATAACAAAATGAATTTTTACTTGTAAATCAAAGTTTTAGCAAAATAAAAATTTTAAACTTCAAATTCTCAATTTAAATCATATCTAAGTTCAGACAGTCACTTTTGAAGTATCAATTTTACAATAACCAGCATCTAACTGCTATCAACAGATTCATAATCTTTTTCTTTTAACCTTTTCCAGAAATCTATGTTCTATACAAATCCATTTCATCCTAATCAGGACATCAATGTTCCTACACTTAACTACAGATATTTTCTCATGAATTTTCCAAATTCAGTCTCAAAGTTAGTTGGCAGTGTTTAATAGCTGTGGCCTATGTGATTCATCTGCATTTTGAGCAAGTCCATAAAACACACTTACCCAAGGGTTAAAACCCCAACTAGCATTCAAGAGAGCACGCAAAAGTGGACTTTTCGTGTAATGTTGAGACCCAACCTTAGATTAAATTCAAACAGAGAAATGAACAAAATCCATTGCTTTATTTTTCTAGAAGATACTGTCAAACATATATCAGATACAAAAAGGAAAAACATAGTAATGTAAAGATTGAAAAACATATATATGAATAATACTTGAAGGTGTGACTGACTTACCTCTTCAGGTGTTATGGCGCCTTCAGCATTTTCATCTTGTTTACCCCGGAAAAATCCACTCAGAGTATTTCCAAGTTCTGAGATAAAGGAAAAGAATTAGTTGATAACAATAAGTACAAATATCTGTGACACAGGTAATATTATTAGCGCACACACACACATATATATATATATATATATATATATATATACACACACACACAGTGAGGCAGCAAAACATGCAAAATTTTGTGAGGTTTGAAACTTATGCAAAAAATAGGCCTATTAATAAAAAAAACATAATAATATACAATTATATATGTAGTACATAATTTATTCAATGTACCTTCCATTATTTTCAATTACAGCCTTGAAATAACCTTGAAAAGCTGCATAACTATGACATCTTGCCCCTATTCTCCTTGAGTTGTTGCTTGGAACAGGTTTTAACATAATCTAGTGAGTCCAGATCTGAGATGGAGAAGGGCCTGAAGTCCACTGGCCAGAAATCTAAAGAATTAACTTTTCAGAACTTCTGCACCTTCTTGGCTATATGGCCAGGAGCATTGTTCTGTGCACACAGTCACACTCTGGATAACTGGCCTTGAACCATAGCAAAACATTCTAACTCAGAACCTCATTGGGCCTCAGCACCCACTTTTTCTCAAAGTCTGCAGAAGAGAGTGGAGAGCATCCTTTTCTCCATCATAGGCTACAACATCCAAAACTATACCATCAGGGGGTCCTAAATAGTGCTTTTGATAACAATTCCATAAGGTAGTGGTCATTTTGGAAGTTCAAAACAATGCCTAATGTGAAGAATTTCTCAAAATTTTTATGGCAGAACCATGATTTTTGAAGCACCTGGCTTATGGTCATATCATATTGGGGAAAAAAAAACAAAAAAAAAAAAAATACTTATCTAAAAATATTTTCTGGCTTTAAATAACCTGCAAAAGCTTTAGCTGTAAAAATAAAATAAATCAATCTTGAAGCGCCTGAACACTTTTGGCACCTTTCCAATGGACTCAATGAGGAAATATCTTGGTGTCCTGGTGTTTGATTTAAGGCCCTGGCTGTTCTGATAGTCTTGGGATCTACTTTTAGTTCAGCAGCTTTTTTATGTATGAATGTTGTTGCAATTTTGGTCTTTAGTATAGTAATGATATTAGAATTTAAGTTACATTTTAGCATCTTTTCTGATCTTTACTCCAACTTTCACCGCTGATTTTCAAAACCAGCTCCCAAAGCTTTAATCCTTATCAGAGATAATATATTTTTTGAAGAATGAGAAGGCAGGAAAAGTGTATAAGCAAATTTGGAGGAAAAGTTCCCAATGTTTCTGAGCCTTCTAAATCTCAATACCAAGAGTATGCGCCTCTTTGGCAGTGAGCATTTGACATTGTCTGTGATAACATCAGGTCAGTGACAGTAACACAAGTCATCTTTTCAAGGAAGAAGTTTACATGGTTGGCTCTAAACACAGAATATCGACCATATACTAAAACTAATAGAGATCTGCTTCCTAGGACCTTGAAATTCCTGTTGTCAGCCTACAAACTCACTCAACTACAAACTATGGATCTTCTGATTATCCTCCCCCCCATCAACAACAGCTCTGAAAAAATCTTATGAGTGTTAACTCCTTAAGAACAATTTACTTGCTTAAAGAACTTTTAGGTGCTCAGAGAAAGCCTTTACATGAACACTTTCTTCCTTTAAGAGAATTTTCTTCTCCTTTTTATTCTCTCATATTTTGTATATATGCCTTTATCTGTTTTTCAGGTGTGTGAATAAACATTTTCTTCTATTGCTACACCCCAAGCAAGAGTTCGAGTCTTTATTGTTCTGCCTAAAAGAGAATTTCCACTCTAAACTTTCAAGTCATTGTTGCTTTTATTGATTCTGTCACCTTTAACCGTAACCCTTTCTTGTGGGAAAAGCTGGACAAATTTTCCACAATGAAGAGCAGAGTACAACAATATATAAAAATATTTTATGACTCCCCTAATAGTAGTAAAATCTATGGTGAAAATGCAGAATAATGGAATTGTGGCCACCATGCATGCACATGATTTAACTTATTTATGAAAAGGGAGTTTTATAAGAAAAATTCATTGAAATCTAAAGCTAATCATATGAATTTAGATACTATCTCTCAATATCAGATCATGTTTTTACTTTATTCCTCTTAATGATTAAAAAAAAAAAAACAAATACTCACTGGACCAAGCTGATTCCTCCTTTTCATCACCTTCTGGTGATTTTTCAAAAACAGACTCAGCCTACAATTTAAAAATAAGTCAAATCCTTCACAAAGGGCCAATAAATAATAAACTAGGCACCTCCATTAGGTCACGTAAAAAAAAAAGCAGCATATCACGATGAAAAAAGGCTCATAAATCAACAAAAACAAAGTTTTGTCTCAATATGTTGTTATTAATTGAAAGCTAAAGCATTAAATTTATTACTTACAGTAAGTAACATATTCTGGTGTCTTTCAGATAGAAATTATATAGATTGGAATGTCAAATATATGCTCGATTTTTGTTTAATTTTCTTAAATTTTAAGAAATTTGTAAACAAAAAAACAAAATTTTGATTTTAAAATTCTTCCTAAAATAAATTTATATATTTTTGATACGTTATTTGAGTAAAATTAGAAAATTTAAAGTTAAATTAATCCAATATGAAACGAACAGTACTTATGGCATAAAAATTTGTATCCAAACATTTCTTAACGATGTGTCTGAATTTATCAAAGAAATCGATTGTGACAAGGTGATGACAGATTACTATGGATAATCAAAATTGACAATTTTTGCAAAAATAATTTAACGTGGTTTTTTTTTTTTAACTAGTACTTTTTAAATATTAACATTTTTATTCAGCAATTATGTAATATCTATTTTTTATTTCATACTTTCTTAATTAGATAATTGTTTAAAGTTTTTATTAATTAGATAATTGTTTAAAATTTTTTAAGGATTATGTCATGTATACATTTCCATACGTAGAAATTATGAACGTTTTTTTTTCAATAAAAATTTTTTAAAAATTATTTTTAAAATATTCGGGGACAAACGACTTATGTGCTTTTCAAATTTTGATTTGTAAATTTACTTTTTCATTAGCGTTATCATTGCATTACGCGCTTAAAAGCAATAAAGAATTTTAAACGGTTTTTTGAAGTATTAAGAAGTTAATGAAAAAAAATTTTAAAAATGGAAAAAAAATTTGTAAAAAATACATTATTCATCGAAAATTTTTTATTTCTTCACAAAATAATGTCCTTAATATAACGTATTTACAAAAACAGGTGAAAGCTTTTCTAATTAATGCCATACTTTTTTTACATTTTTATTTTTACAAAAAAAAAAAAAAAAAAAAAAAAACTGGTGATTTACTTTCTATAAAGAGTCCTGTTTATAACTAATAAAACAAATCCCGTGCGTAAAGATTTAATTTCTCGAAATTTCATAAAAATATGTAAGTTGGTGGAAACATGTTAAAAAAAAAAAATCTTTTTAACAAGATTTTCTAAAAAAAAAAAAAAAATAATTTCATTCATTTCTGAATAAGTCCTGAAAGTTTCATTAAAATCTAACAATTATTTGATTTTTGCCAAAATTTCCTAATTAACGTGTGTTTTCCTGGGGAAATGTGCAAAATAAAACAAACCTTTTTTTTCTCTTATTGCAATGTCTTAAAAAAAAAAAAAATTTTTTAACCAAAATTTTCTACGTTCTAGAATGGAGTAAAAAATTTCAAAAAAAAAAAAAAAATACTTTGGTCCTTCCTCTTCATAACATAAACATATTGAGAAAACTTTTTTTCGTTGATTTATGGACCTTTTTTCATCGTGATATGCTGCTTTTTTTTTTTTTTACGTGACCTAATGGAGGTACCTATAATAAACTATTTTAGTAAATAAATCTTATTTGAAAATGAAAATTGATAATTCAGGCATAAATTTATCAAATATATGAAAAAGAAAATTTGGTGAACACAAATATTGGAGGCTAAACAATTTTATGATAAAAAAAAAAAAAAAAAAAAAAAAAAAAGATTAGACTCACTCCATCCAAGTGCAACAATCCACTTTCATCCATACGGAAATGTGCACGGACACCTTTGTATTCTGCATTGGATGCATGTTTAGAATGTGCATCACCTACACCAGTCAAAGTGATATTCTGTAGTATCAAGGAGCTGAAAGACCTGAAAGATAGAGCATAAAAACTTTAAGAGTAACAAAACTAGATAAAGAATTTGTCTTACTGAAATTCTAACAAAAGGCAATTAAAATTTTTTTTCACTCAAACTCATTAAGATTCAAATGAGAAAGTAAATAAGTTTAAGATAATGTAAATACAAAAGTACTAAAGTAACTTACTTAATTCCAAAGAGAAAACAAAAAAATGCCCAATAACTTAATGATATTCATATTAAATATCTTAATATTGCCAGTTTTTGATCCAAATGAGCAGTTTACCGTGATAGCATATTTCAAAGTTCGATTTTTCTGATTGCTGAGCAAAATTATGCAATAAGAAATAATGTTGATTGTAAATTAAAAACCTATTCTTGCAAAACTGCTAATTCTGAATTACAAATGGATGATGCATAAACTTCTACATAAATGGTCAAGTACTGTTCAGCTTAGTTGTAAAGAATTAAAATTTTCAGACAGTATAGTTACATAAACATCATGAATTACTGAAAATAATATTCAAAAGGTATTTTCTTCTGTTTGAGACAGTTTTATTGTTTTGTACTACTGGAGAAAAAGATGGACAGAAAAAGTCTCTTTTCTTCCTGAGGTGGCATATTACATCTAAGGAAGGCCAAATTGAATAATTCTTTGAATGAGATAAAAATTATGTATACCTTTATAAAACTAGAAGCATACTGCAAAAAATTATATCTAAACTTATATACATTTACATTTATAAACATGCAAATATTTTAAAAATTTAACAAAAAAGGAAGAAAAACAGACTTGTCAATTTATCAGATTTAAAAAAAAAAAAAAAAATTATATAAAAATAATTTATAAAGGATATGTTTTAAAATATCCATTTGAAATTTCTGGTAAAAAATTCTTCAATATGATAACTTTTTTAATTCATGTGATGAATTTTTTTTTTTTCACAATTACTGCAGTAAGTTTTACACATTAAAAATAAACTGTTTACTTTTATTTAAAAAAAAAGAAAAAACCACCAGCGAATCAACACACAGTCTTAATAAGAAAAGAAAAGTAAAATATTGCTCTTATTGGCAGGATTTTATCTATCTTTGTGAAGTTTTATTTTATGGCTATTTTCTATAAAAAGAAAAAATATAGAGAGTAAAAGTTTATCAGAAGTTATTGAAAATTTTCCCTTGTAAAATGTTTGACAAAATAAATTAGATTGTGTTAAATCATAAATGTATTTATTTTTTTTTTATTTTTTATTATGCACAAATAAAATTCTTCAGAAAAAAATTTCTCAGGGATACAAAAGAGGTATGCTCAATATTAGTAGTAGTTTTGCCAGCATTACCAGCATTTTTGTTTTCTTACCCCTGTTTTTATGAAAACTTATTCATCCTTACTGTGGCTGATTTTTACGTACTAACTGATTGACCCTTGCCACCATCTTCTGACACTTATTTGGGGAATATCACATTGTTTTGAAATAGAATTTGAAAGATATTTATTTTGTGAGGATAGGTGTTAGGGCTTGACGTGACTAGCCGATTGGCTGGATTGGGCCTCTCCGACCTCCTGTCTAGCCAAGGTAAAGGCCAAAGTGGTGTGTTGCAGGGTTGTGACAACTTTTCACCTGGGTCACAACCTGCTCAGCCACCAGGATCTCGTCCCCAGGCGTCACGGGTTGCCACCATGGCCAACAGGTGGCCCCATTGAGGAACTTTTACCCTCTGCAGGGGTGCAGTCGACGTATTCTGAAGCCCCGCCAACAGGGCATATTAACTTTTGAACCACTGAACATATTTACATAATTCGAACAGTTTTAAGTAGATTTTTAAGAGATCTTTCTAATTTGATTAAATCAGTCTGAAAGAAAAAAAATCAAATTAAAAATAGCAAAACATATTACAGAGTTCACTACCAAAATTGATGCACACTGAAGTAATAAAAAAAAAAAAAAAAAAAAATATCAATCTTAAGAAAAGACCTACTTCCTATGCTCTGGATCAAGGAAATCAAGATCTCCATAGCTAACACCAAAGTTGAAATCATTGTTATGTTTATTGAAGGTCATTACTTTCTTAATTGGGTAAGCATTATTTCGACCAAACAATGTTCTCTTGACACTCTTTGATGAACTTGAACCATCTTCATTTGGTCTTTGTCGTTGAAACTCCACCTTGTAGAAGAGAAAGGTCAGATGTGTAAAAGTAGTTTGGGAATACGGACACACAAACATCAGTTATCTATTATCAACATAAATTACACTGATGCAGATTCTTCTATAAATAAAATCCATTATAATAGCTTTATATACTTGTCTCTTGCATTTGGAGAATTTAAACATTTTTGGTGGTACATTACTTAAAAATCAGAAAAATAAGAAAACTAGCATGGGTTGAAAACCTTTGCACCCCGCCACCCCTTTAATTATCAAATACAAGGAGCATATACATTAGTAATGGACATAGATTAATGGTTAGAATAGGTACCTCCACGAAATCGCTAAAAAAAGAGCATAGCTTGATGAAAAGACGCCAACCTTGCGAAAAACAAAATTTTATTGTCTAAATGCTTATGTTATTATTTAGAGGAAAGACCAAAGTTTTTTTTAATTATTTTTAAAAATTTTCCTTCTTTTTAGAAAATTCTAAATTTTGATTAAAAAAAAAACTTGTTTCTATTTGTATCAGCGAACTAGTAAATAACATAGACAATTTTTAGCACGTTTTTTTTGGTATGACACACATTAATTTGAAAAAATCGTGCAAAAATAGAAATAATTATCGGATGTTAATGAAACTTTCAGGAACTATTCACAGATGATCGAAATTATTATAAATATGTTTTTTTATGAAAGTCATAGTAGAAATATTTTTTAAAATATTTATTACCCCCCCATAACTAATTTTATGAAAACGCTAGAAATTGATCGATCGGTTTTAGTGATTACAATAATTAAAAGCACAGGGCTTTGAGGAATGCAAATCATGTTTTTTTTTTTTTTTAATTGGATACCCAGTACCTGAAAATCAGCTCTGAATTGTAACATACAAAACTCAATAAAACAAAGATATTATTTAATTTCAAATGCTTTTATTTGCTTTTAGTTGTTTTTATGAATATGGACAATATTTTCTGAAAGCAAAAAATTTTTTTTCGATGAAAAATGAATTTTTAATACAATTATTTGTTATTTCATTAATTATAATACATTTTACATTTAAGTTGTTAAAATATTATAAAATTAGTTAAAAGTCAAGACAGGCTTTCATAAGTGTCCTTATGAGATAGATCTTTTTTAGTGCGTTGTAAATTGTATCATTTTGACTAATCAGAAGATCCCCAGTAATTAAGAAATGTAATTTTGTGCTTATAATCGAGCTGTAATTATAAAATACGGAAGACCAAGCAGATTATAATTAAGTTGCGTTATTTGAGTTAAGCATTGTTCTCCACTGTTAAGGCCTTTACTTTTGCGAAACACGTGTGGAGAAGTTAATTTGATTTTTCAATTTCAACTGAGAAGGTTACCTACAAGTATCAGTATCATCTTATGAAATTTATATGATCTTATTTTTATATTAATCTCAGTTTTGACATTTTTCCATAAATGAAATATCAAAATTAATAATAAAATGAATGCAAATACAAATAACAGTAGAATGTAATAAATGTACATAAAATTATAGTATTTTATGTACAATTCTGATAAAATTTCATAAGAAAGGTAGCTATAAATTAATTAGATACCTTTCTTAAGAAATATGAAAGTTAATGTCACTCTTAACAGTTTTATTTTAATTTCTTTAGAATATATTTCCCATAAAGCATCATAAACCTAAAGGTGAAAGCTAAGTACAAAAAAAAAAAAAAAAAAAAAAATTAGACCGCTGAAAGTTTTTCGTTAAAAATAATAGGTAAATAATTTGTTCACGTAAATGTAAATTATTTCACTTTTCTCCTTCCGTAGAACAAATTAGCCTCGTGGAATTCGTAAATATATCATTTATCACATGTCAAGAGACGCGAAAGTTTATGACCTGCTTTGTTTTATTTTCAAATTACATCTTTTTGGCACAAAAGCTAAGTTAAGTTTGGTTCAAAATATTTTAAATAAACATTATAATTTCTGATTTTCTTAAAATAAGTTTTGAAAAAATGATAATTGATATTTAAAAAAATTTCAAAGTCAGATTTCCAGTTTTTTTTAAAATGAAAAAAAATAGTCAATTTTGCTGACTCAAAAAAAACTAGATTTTTAACGAAAGTTTCGGACGTGCTAGGAACGATTAAAAAATGGAAAAAAATACCCCAAAAATACTTTGACCTTTCCTCTTAATGAATAACAAACATTTAGACGATAAAAGTTTGTTTACGTCAAGTTTGGCGTCTTTTTCATCATGCTATGCTCTTTTTTTAGCGATCTCGTGGAGGTACCTAGGTTAGAATGGTAGTTTTTCTAGACAATAGCTAAAGTGATAGTTTGATCCTCACTGTAGATTCCACTGTTGTTTTGTGCTAGAATGCTTTACATGAGCCTAAACTAGAATTTAATTATTTGTCACTAAAACTTATATTCTACAGTTGCAGAACCTTAAGATTTGCATATAATTCAAAGACCGTAAAATAATATTTAAGATAATGTAATAGATGCAAAGCAAGTAACTTACAATGATGGGGTAAACAGTTGCCTCCTTGACCAAAAACTTCTTTACTTTAAATCCTTGGCTAAGATGGGCAGCCTGATACACAGCCCCCATGGCTGCTGCCTCATCAGTATTAATGCTCTTTCCAAGTTCATTACTGCCAAATAAATTAAATACATTTTAAAACTGATAAGCTGAGTGAAGAGGTTAAATTTTTAAAAGTAAAAGAATTTTTTTAAATTATAAAAAAAACCAAAACAAAACAAAAAAGAAAAAAAAAACCAACAGCAAAAGTTATTTTTATGTAAGAAATATTAGTGCATCATAGACAAACTATTTTATATATATATATATATATATGACAGATATAAATGTGTGTGAGACATTCCTACATGCTCCAACTATATAATGCAATGCTACAACATTGTCTTACAAGAAACTCTTAGTAGAGAACACCAATACAATATCTTATTTTATGAAAATATTAGCAAAAGTCTTTTCCATAGTAAACATGCGTATTATTATTATTATGAGATGAAAGTATACTAAAAGAGGTTAAGATAAATAAATATCAATGAAGTAAAAAGGATGCTAGTTGTATTTCAGTTCATATCTAAACTGATATCAAAACCACTATTCTTTGAGTTTAGAAGTCTAAAATTGAATCTAAGATTTCTTATACCTTCAAAAGTTTAGTGATAAATTAAACATTCATAACTAGCAAAGCACAGCATATTATTTATTATGTTTTTTGAACTGAATAGTTTTGGAAATACTAAACATCAAATTTTATATAAAAAAATAAATAAAAAAAAATTCAAGCAATACACAAACTCTGGTTAAAATTCATTGCAAAATAAATGTACGAATGCTCCACACTTTTATGGTAGTATGATACAAATATTACTGGTACTATGTTCACATCAGCTTTTTCTGAAAGGCATTTTTAATATTCCTTATGTGGGAGGGAGGACTGATCACACACATTCAACTGAAAATAATAACTCTTCAGACATATGTCTATAGATTCATCTAGAAAATTATTTGAATATATACAAATTATTAAATAAAAACCCGTTTGAATTTGCCTATACTTACCGCTTCAAGAACTTCAGAAGCATCTCTTGCACTTTGGGTATACGTGTGCACCCACCCATCAATATGACATCACCAATTTCACTCTGATATTAAAAAAAAAAAAAAAAAAGTTATGCAGAATGTCAACAATGACCGAATAACACAAATTCAATTTTTATGCATGTATGTTTATATTTTGCTATTATAATAAAACAAACCTTAATGCAATAAAGTATTTGTAGGTTTCTAAATTTTTTCTATTTATCCTTAAATTATTGATAAAAAATTTAATATGGGCATATAACAAATAATTAAAATCATCTCTACATTATAGTTTCTTTTCCTGTGCTTCCTATTACATAGGTGAGTATATTTTGCCTAGTAAAATAATTGAAGATTATTTTTTATTTTTATGAGCAATACAGAAATATAGCAGATTTCGGATCAGTTAAGAAAAATTGTAAAAGCTCCTTCAAAATTCCTTCATACTGAATGCACAAATATAAAAACTGAAATGGGTTGCCACCAGCCAAATTATTCACAACTATCAAAAAAAGTATTTGATTTATACCAGCGTGAAAACACAGAAAACAAAAAGTAAGACAAACACACAAAAAAAAAACAAAAAAAAAAACACAATACACACAATCTTACAGTTTGGTCTATTATTAGTACATAAAATGGCTTACCAATGATATTCCTGAACTTTCTATCACTTTTTGTACTGGAATCACAACTCTATCAAACAAGTCTGCAAAAAGTTTTTCAATATGGTTTCGTGTCACCAGTAAACGAAAGTCTTTTTCTTCTAACAAGTTTTCAATTTGAGCATAATGTTCTGAATTGGCACTGAGCACCATCTTCACACGCTCAGCTTCTTTAAAAAGTTTTGCCATGCTTCGTAGATTTGTGTAAACATCTGTCTTTGTTTGCTTTTGCTTATTGAATTCATCAGCAAAATACTTTTGTAACCGGAGAGTCATTTCCAGGCCACCCAATGTATTATCAAATCTACAAAAAAAAAGAAAAAGAAAAAAAAAAAAAAAAAAAGAAAAAGGTGTAACAGTTTCTAAATACTGTTGAAAGAAATGGATATCACCACCTGTTTTCTATATGTTAATGATGTTTGTATATATTTATTGATTCAACTTATTAGCTAAACATTTAGAAACAAACATGGCACTTAATTACTTACTCTTTAATACTTGATATCTCAGCAGATGTTGGCCATTAACAGAATAAACATTTAAATTGAACTTCTGGGAGTTTCCATAGCTTAATCAGTAGAGTAGTGAACATTGGTGGAGGCACGGTGGAGTAATGGATAGTGGCTTGGATTGAGGAATTGTTTCCATTACATTCACTTATGTGCTAATACCCTTGGGAAAGATATGAATCCTCTTCTCCCTCCAGCTATGGGTAAATAGCAGGACAGACTGGGTTTTGTAGCCTTGGATGGCAACTGGTCTACCGCAGAAAGAAATGGCAACCTACTGCGGGAAAAATCTGCCTCAGCAGTCATGTATCAAAAAATACATGATCGCCTAAGCATGTATCACACATGGCACATAACTGACCGAGTAAACATTAATGACAGTAGTATGACAATCAGAGCTGTGATTATACAGGGTGCGATGGATAAATTGTCGTTTAAATTACCCAAAAAAGGAAATAACACTGGCATCTCATTTTAACAGACATATTTACCAAAATTACACAAAAATATATTTAAATACTAAAGAGTAAATTTATTCAATAAAAAAAATCGCTATTGCCTTCAACTACAGCCTCCAGACAATTTCGGAATCTCCTGCAACTATTTTGGACAGTCTCCTTGTTTAAGTTGGTCAATGCTGCCATAATTCTTGCCTTCAGTTCATCTTTAGTTTTACAAGGAGTTTTGTTGGTCTCTTGTTCAACTGTGCCCTACACAAGGGAGTTGCATTCTGGGGAGTTAGGTGGCCAGTTGTAAGAGGTGATGTGGTCAAAGAAGTTGTCTGACAGCAATGACTGGGTTCTCCTTGTGTGGCATGGTGCAGAGTACTTTTGCCAGATATAGGATCTCCCCACAGCCACCCTATTGACCCAGGGCAGCACTACCTCCTCAAGGCACTTGATATAGGCCACTGTGTTAGTCTGATGCCCTCACCAATAAATTTTGGGAGTTCTTTCCTTATCAGAACAATCAGAGTTAGTTTTCTGATCTGCTAATAATTTATAATCACTATTAGACTCATCCAACTCTTTCCAAATTTTCAGCATTGTCCTCAGATTGACACTCAAACACAGAAATGTTCATATTGGAGCTTCTGGCATGAATGACAAGCAGTACAGCATGCCATTTCCAAATTTCTGGTGGAGTGAAATTGTGCTCTCTCACAGTGCCCATCTGACCCTACTCTAAGGGTGCAGTCGACAAAAATCAAAAACAATGTGCATGCACAAAATTAAAAATGTAAAATAGCAACAATTTATCCATCATACACTGTATATAAAACTGAAATGAAAGAAATATTTGAAAATTTGATAACCTAGCAAGCTTGCGTAGCATTCTTTACTAGTTTACTAATCAACTGACCAAGTTCAAAGTTAAAAAGGTAACATGGTCTAATAAGTAATGCATTTTTTGTTTTTTTCTTTAATTATAATAATTATTCTCATAACAAGAACAATAACACCAGCTCCATCAGACTCCCACCTGTGTTTATGTCAATTTTTTTTTTATTCTTTCTTGTTCTGTCACTTTCATGAAGACAGATTGTTTAGCATTGCAATTGTGTTAGACAGAAATACTCAATGTTTCTGCTGAATTGCACTTTAGAGGATTAGTTTAAAGAATTAGTTTTCATATAATTTATTTTGGTACTTTACAAATTCTTTTTTTATAGACCAGCAATTTAGTATCATGGAATTTAGTTGGAATCTTCCAAGATGCAAGCTTTGCATCAAATTTGATGAAGCTACATCTTTGTTTTTGGTTATACTACCAGAGATTGGACACTCACATTAGTTTGTTCAAATTTCTAAAGTCTGCAGAGCTAGTTAATGATCTCTTCCAAGAGAGGAGAGATTTGATTCCAAAACTATTCTGATTTCAAATAAAAGGTAATAAAGCATTGAAGCCTAACTTTTGACTCATAACCTTTCCAAAGCTATTTACTAAATTGTTATGCTCCAAAACCTTATATAAACTTTTTTTTTCTAATCATTTTACACACACAGTTTTATCTGGATATAAACATTTCTTACAGTTAAAATTTAATCAACTTGTAAAATCCTAGCTATCTTGAAAAGAGGATGTTTTTATAATAATAACTTCAATTTTATTTCCTGTGTTGTTCTGATCAGTACAATCAATGATTTTAATATTCTATCAAATCCCAGTCCTAAATTGTATTCTGATCAAGGTTCTTCAACTTGAATTAACCTAATAAAAATTTCAGCTATTTAATAAGTTTATAGTTCAAGTTTTATTACTTACGCAACCCCATGAATTGTCAGTTGGGGGTTTGATTCCACACGTGAGCCCTCTTTACTTTTCTGTAGCATGTAACCTACAAAGAAATTACAAATTAACATTTTGAAATGCACACCAAGATTTTTTTTACTTCCTTCATATATATATATATATATATATATATATATATATATATAGAAATAAAAACTTGACAGATATTTGGTAAGTTTTTACAAAAGTATTTCATTTCAGACAACAGTTTCCCAGGAGATACTTTATTCAGCTATTGTTAGTGTATATGATGCTGGTGAAATCAGTAAATACCAGTAAGCGGTCAATGGAAACCGTACTTGCTCTAAAGATTAGAATATGTCTTCAACAGTGCACACATGCAAGGGAGAAAGAGAAAAAAAAAGTGTGAATTTTTAATCTATTAATAGAAATAAACAATTACTTAAATGTAGGCACCTCCACTTGTTCACTTAAAAACAGCATAGCATGATGAACCCCACCCCAAAAAAAAACCTCGAACTTAATAAAAACAGATTTATTTTCAAAATGCTTGCTATTAAGAGGAAAGACCAAAATACTTTTTATTATTTCATTAAATTTTTTAATCCTTTCTAGCACATTTGAAATTTTGGTTAAAAACTTTTTTTTTTTTACGTCAGTGACTGACATTAATTTATGATTAGTGTTTTCACGTCCCCCACTCCCAGTGAAAAACACATTGATTTGGAAATTCTTGCAAAAATGAAATAATTGTCAGATTTTAATGAAACTTTCATTCATTTGTGAATAAGTCCTGAAACTATTTTTGAAAAAAAATTTTTTTTAAAGAAAAACTTCGTAAATTTTTTAACATTATCACCTACTTAATTTCATGAAATTAAATTGCAATCTCAAAACTTGTTTTAATGGTTAAAACAGGACTTCTTGGAGAATGCAAATCATTTTTTTTTTCTTTCTTTCTCCAAACTACTACTTATTTTCCAAAAATCTGCTCTGAATCTTAAAATAAAAAAATGCAATAAAACCATGACATTAATTAGAAAAGCTTTTAATTGCTTTGATAAATAGTATTTATTAAGGATGCTATTGTCTTAAGGAAAAAAAAAATTTTGATGACTAATGAATTTTTGCAAGAATTGTTTTATTTTTTAAGATTTTAATTAGAATATTATAAATCATTTAAAATTCTGCATTACTTCAATCTGGTTAGGTGATATTGTTATTAAGTGAAAACTATAATTTACGAATCAAATTTGAAAAGCTCAATAAAAGTCATTTACACCCATTTTTTTTTTTTTTTTTTTTTTTAAGTTAAAAAATTTTTTTTATGTATATAAAATATTACGTAACTTACCTGTTTGAAAGTATGGTCAATCATACACAACAATCAGAAAAATAAAAGTGATGACTATAGTAAATTTAAATTCAACATTCCTAAAATTAGATTATGGAGAATATTTTCCAATAGTTTTAAGATTACTGAGTACTTAAAAATTACATAAAAAAAGGCAGTCATTTTCTCAAATTATGTTTTAACAGATAAAGTCTCTGCAGAACAACAGTAAAGGTGTTGACAGATTTTATCATCGTTTGTCAAGTGATCTATGAGTGATTAGTGATGGTGATAAAATGTGTAATCACCTCTACTATTTGTTTTAAAAATCTATTTTTGTTATTTTAAACTTAAAGTAAATAATATATTTTTCAAATCAGATTAATTATATTTTAAAGCAGCTAATATTCCACAAATAAAGTTTCAGAAAAGTACATTTTATTTTTGGAAGATTTTTTTTTTTAAAAACAGATTTACTTTTGTTTACAAATGTATCAAAAATGGCCAATTTTGTGAAAGCAATCAAAAAGATGAGATTCCAATCAATTTCTATTTGAAATACGAGTATTTTGCTTAATGGAAATAGTAAATTTAATCATTTAGCTTTTAATTAAAGTTAAAATGAAAGCTTCAAGAATTTTTTCATTTTTAAAAATTCATTTTAAACTTTAGGTATCAAAAATACAGTGGAGGTGCCTATTTAAATGTATACCAAACTGCCTACAGAATAAAACGCACATCTTTCTATAGCACATGAACCGGTAAGAGACAGTGTTCAGTTTCTTTGTAATAAAGAGATTAAAAAGAAAAAAAAAAAAAAAAAAAAAAAGTTGAATATTTCTGAAAGATAACATTAAGGCAAGCAGTTTTGTAATTACAGAACTCAATATAAAAATATGCATTAATACTAATAAATTAAATTCATAATGGGAATACTTGGTTACACATAGAATTCATATTAAAAGCAGCATTGACATCTAACTGGTGGTTATATAAAAATTATCTAATACATATTTATATATAAATTTGAACAATTTCAAATAAGTTTATATCATAAAATAATGTATTTAAGGAAAAACAAATTCAAATAAGTTTAAACCATGACTGTTTTTAAGGGAAAATTAACATCTCAGAAAAAAAAATGATTTCTGTAAATAAATTCAATTTTATGATTAAGTTCTGTGATGAGTAGTAGTAAACTTCAAGAAACTCAGACTAGAGATAAGTGAACATTTAGTTTTATTTATTACATTACCATAACTTATATAATCAAAATGTTTTGGTAGAAATTTCTTTCCATAATAATGAATCCAGATCAGTGTGGATGTATATATAAACACAAACTCCAAACACTTATTTAAAGACAAAATTTTATTCTCTACTTGAATATTGGCATGATTTTTATAAGCAAAATGTCAAACTTACCAACAATTGTTGCTGATGTATAGCTTGCACCCATGTCATAAAACATAATGTATTGGGGTTTAGAGTCAAAATCTTTTCTTCGGAAAACTCCGTAATTCAAAGCCACTAAAAATTAAAATTTAATGAAACAGAAAAAAAATTAAGAGATTAAAATAAAAAATATAATTAAGTTTTTACAGCTAAAAACAAATAATCACATTTCAAACAGATCATAAACACATTAACTGCAAAAACAGGAATTTCCACCATTGCTGTTTGATGAATCAATTTTGAAGGACAAATTTCTGTTGCAGATAATGGGTTAAAGTATACATCAGGATTTAAAATAAAATATAATTTAAAATTACTGAAGGTTTATTTCGAGTCTACAATGTGTTATGACAGCATGTGTAAGAAAGGCTTTACAGTGTCAAAAATACTATACACCTTCGCTGGAGTCCTCCTAGACTTTGAAGCCTTAGGCTTCAGCTTGCTAAGCCTATAGGTAAATCTGGCACCATGTGTATGTGGCTAAACCAGTAATGATTATTGAAACAAATATATTTAAATGTATAGACAAAAATGAACATGCTCAGAACAAATACCAATATAATTAAATCAAAATCTAAGAAACGATACCTGCTGCATTGTCACTCATCAGTTGAAGTAAGTTTAAGCCTGCAATCTGAGCAGCATCTCTCACAGCCTTTCTTTCTGCCTGATTGAAATGTGGTGGCACAGTTACTACAGCATCTTTGATTGGTTGTTCTGAGAATAAAAGATAAGCAAAATTGGATATTACCTGCTCAGTGTGAAAATGAAAAGAACAAAGTGATATTGGTTTGAAGGATTCTGTTAATGTCGTAAATTTTTTTTTCTAAAACAGTCTGGAATTCAATACCTCAGTACACTTAATATAAAAGAAATAACTTGAAAATAAAATTTTAGAAAAAAAAAAAAAGGGGAAAAAATTGAGTCACATGACAAAAGACTTCAACTAAAATAACTATCTTAATGAACAATCTGAATATTAAAAACATAGCAGTATAAAACACAAAGTGGAAAATTTAAGGAGCAAAAGACGGCAAATTTCTATTTCATGTTTAGTACAAAGTAAGACTACAATAGAACAAAATTACTATGGAATTAATTTTAGTATTTTTCTTTTTTCAAATTTGGATGAAGATTTTCTAATCTATTTTTGAACAAGGATCATGCAAACAATTTTATTTCATTTAAACAAAAGAAATAAATTTAAAGAATATGAATCTTCTGTTGCCTTAGTCTTAATAGAGAAAAAAGTGGTATCTGTAGTTAATTTACCAGCGAATTCTTCCGCCAAATGTTTGCAATATTCAAGCAACATAGCCAGCAACTCTTCTGGACTGTAAAATGTTTCACTGTTAAAAAGAAAAAAAAAATTTTTTTAAAATTTCTATACTTTTTAGAATCATGTTTAGAAGAAACCAATTTGCTCACATTTTGTAATTGTAACTTTAAAACTTACCCATTTATTTTAAAACTTACCCATTTATTTTAAAACTTACCCATTTATTTAAAACTTACCCATTTATTTTAAAACTTACCCATTTATTTTAAAACTTACCCATTTATTTTAAAACTTACCCATTTATTTTAAAACTTAATTTATTTTTTAGAATCTTACCCATTTATTTTAAAAAACCCATTTATTTTAAACTTACCCATTTATTTTAAAACTTACCCATTTATTTTAAAACTTACCCATTTATTTTAAAACTTACCCATTTATTTTAAAATCTTACCCATTTATTTTAAAACTTATTATTTTAAAACTTACTTTATTTTAAAACTTACCCATTTATTTTAAAACTTACCCATTTATTTTAAAACTTACCCATTTATTTTAAAACTTACCCATTTATTTTAAAACTTACCCATTTATTTTAAAACTTACCCATTTATTTTAAAACTTACCCATTTATTTTAAAAACTTACCATTTATTTTAAAACTTACCCATTTATTTTAAAACTTAATTTATTTTAAAACTTACCCATTATTTTAAAACTTACCCATTTATTTTAAAACTTACCCATTTATTTTAAAACTTACCCATTTATTTTAAAAACTTACCCATTTACCCATTTATTTTAAAACTTACCCATTTATTTTAAAAAACTTACCCATTTATTTTAAAACTTACCCATTTATTTTTAAAACTTACCCATTTATTTTTTACCCATTTATTTTAAAACTAAAACTTACCCATTTATTTTAAAAAAAAACTTTATTTTAAAACTTACCCATTTATTTTAAAACTTACCCATTTATTTTAAAACTTACCCATTTATTTTAAAACTTACCCATTTATTTTAAAACTTACCCATTTATTTTAAAACTTACCCATTTATTTTAAAACTTACCCATTTATTTTAAACAGCACTGTTCCTCTATTTTCATCCCTCACCAGTGTATAGTATGGAAAACGTTTTTGATATTTTGCTACAGCTGGATCCTCAAACTGTTTGCCAATGACATCAAGGAGGTACCAGTAAGCAGTCAATGGAAACCGTACTTGCTGTAAAGATTAGAATATGTATTGAAGAAGTTAGCAAATTAAAAATATGTATAAGAAGCCAAATAATTATGTAACACAAACTCAGTTGCAGCAATGTTGTTCCTTGAATACCAGAGGATTTAATAGTAAATATTTAGTTTGGGGATTAACTTTTTATATTTAGAAAATGGTCTTAACCTATCTGTTATATTAGGTTGTCACACATAAAATGACGCATCTTCTGGCTGGTTGTTGATCCAGTCATTTAATGTAGTTACCACCTTATATAAAAAATATCTACTTATTCCTGACTTTTTCTTTCAATATATTGTTACTCATAATCCCAATGAAAATGATTACAATGAAACAATATTGAGTAATCTTACTGTACGAGTACAAACTGGGTCACTCTGCCTCTGAAGCATTTTGGAATATTAAGACAGCCTTTGTTAATGGTATTTTTGAAATCAGAACTGTATAGAGATGGTTTCAGAAGTCTTGTTTGGGAGATTATAGTCTTCAAATTAAACCAAGAGGAAGACCATGATTGGTTATCAGACATGATCAATTGACTGATTTGAGTGATCAAAAACCAAGAACTACAGGCTGAAATCTTACATCAGAACTCAAAATAGCTTGCACAACTGTTTCTCATCACTTGAAAGTAATTGAAAAAAAGTAAAGAAACTGGATAAGTTTGTTCCACATTAATTGAAGAAAAAAAAGTGTAGCTTTGAGGTGTGCTCTCTGTTGCTTTCCCTATTGGAAAAAGAACCATTTTTGAATTGAATCATTACATGTGAGGATAAATGGATACTCATTGACAACAGCAAGAGAGTAGGCCAGTAGTTATATGCAAGTAATGGTGACTGTATGGTGGTCTTTCAAAGGGGTTATTATTCATTCTTGCCTCAGGAGAAAACAACAACAGAAACTGAATATTGTGGAGAAATTGGGTGTATGCACAAAAAATTGAAAAAGAAACATCCTATACTTATGAATAGATATTGCCTAATTTTGCTGTACAACAATGCATGGTTGCATGCTTCTCAATCAACTTTCTAAAACCTGCATAGCCTGAATTGTGAAATTTTGTCTCATCCTCCATATTCACTTCATATCTCTCCTACTGATTATCACTTATTTAAGCATTTTGAGCTTTTCATATGCAATAAAAATTCTCCCATAAGGAAGAGGCAATCAAAACATTTGAACAGTTTATCTCATCAAGGATGAGAATTTTTTTAAAGATGGGATCAAGAATTTAGAGATATGTTCATTCATCAACATGGTACCTATTTCAACTAAATAAATTATTTAACATTTTAGAAGCATTTTATTAATTTCCTATAAAATGTATCATTTCATCTGTGACAACCTAAGATTAATAGCAGATGAAACCATTTTCAATATTTATTACGAAAAAGGAATTGAAGTGCATATCAAAGTATATAATGTAAGTGTTTATGTATTTTTCTTATGACTTGGAAGTTGATTTAGGCCATATGTATGATGATTAGAACTTATATAAGCAAGAGAGGAACACAAAAACTGGGCTATAGAAAAATAAGATGCAAAAAGCAGAAAGGCATCAATGAAAATTTTTCATTTTTATACACTGAATAAGAACATATAGTAAGATAGATTACTGAAACTATAAGTTAGCTTGTGACAATTATCTATCATTATAATATTTTAAGTGAAATCAAAATAAACTTACTGTTGTCTGAGCCATGTCAGAAAATTCCCTTTCATTTCGTAAAGCAACCAAGGAGGCAGTTTTTCGTTTAGATTCTCTGAAGTAAAAAGAAATTAAATTTTAAGAGATTTTTTTAATAACCACTACTTACTTTTATATAAACAAACTGATTTTGCTTTTGTTTTGTAAACAATCATTGTTAGTCAATTATATATACACTGGCATAATTTGTAGGATGAAATGAAATTTTTTTGTGAGTACAGGTAGCAGGTATCTAACAAACACAGTGTGCTTGCCATGTGGGCAAGTGAATAGAAATGTTGAGTACAGGGCACAAGTATTTGGAGGTTAGGGTTGAGAGCACCAAGAGAGAAAGAGAGTACAATTTATGCAAGTATCTGGTTAGCTGTGGGAGTGAAGAGAGAAACCAAGCCAAATGAACAAGTCATGAAAACAGAGAACACTCTACTGCAGGTGAGAGAGGGGACAGCAAGAGAGTGAAAATAAAGACTTAAAAATATCCATTTTTTTTTTTTCACTAGTTGCTTTTTCTTTAATATTAATTGAATAGCCCAAAGAGATTTTAATTCATAATTCTTATCTAATTAAATAATATATTTTTATAACTTTATTTTCCTATTGAGGCTGAACTAAAAATGCCAAGTCCCATTTAAGATTTGCAACAATAGACTCGTTGAATTTTGAAGGAAGTTTTTGATAAAATATTAACAACTTACAGGTTTAATACTATTTCCATGGGTACACCAGGCTGAAAAGAAAAAAAAAAAAAAAAAAAAAGAAATAATATCCAATCCAAGTCAAACAATGAAAATACATATTGAACAGAGAAACATTTTAATTGTTCATACACATCTTCAACACGTTTTCACTGTTGTTTCAAAGAATTTAAAGCAACATACTTAAACTGAGAAATCCTCTAATATGCTTTCTTTTCAAAGTTTGCTTTTATCTCATAACTACCAACAGAAAATGGGCACCAGAAAACTGATTAAATTGCAAGCTTGGCTTAAAAATGTATTTGACAATAAGTTTGATTAAGCTTTATATTACCAAGCAAACAATTTTTTTTTTACTTTTTAATGCTAGTTATTGGATAGGATTCATTTAGCTACTGGCAATGAAATAAAGAACTTCAACAACCATAAGTTATCTATAAATTAGCAAATGAGATATAGTGGATAAGTCACTTAGATTTTTTTTTTTTTTTTTTTTAAGTCATTTCACCACAAGCAAGGCAATAATGCCACTAAGATGCCAGGGGTTGGGGAATGAAAGACCGAGAAGACTTTAGAAGGAACTGGAAACACAATCCTAAACAGGAAACAAGGGATAAACATCTACTCCTGTTCAACTGGACCAAAGACTTTGGATATAATAGAATAATCTGGTTATTAAAGCAATACAACATAGAAAGTCAGAAGATAAGCAGCTGTGGAACAAAATTGTAAGTTATAATTTTTGATGCAAAATCTAAATTCATGCATTTTTATGAATTGTAATAAATTTTATAACCAGCATTAGGAATTTCTACATATTTTTCAGAATTGTAAATCAAATACAAAATAGGCTAAGCATCATTTCCTGAAAAAAACTTCAAATTAGATTTCTGCAATGACCTAAAATTAAAAAAATTAACTTTGTCGAAAGTGGTTTATAAATTAAATTGTCAGAAGAAAAATATTCTTATTCTTATAGCTCTGAATAAAAATCAGGTTGAAACTGGCAAATTGCCTCTACAATGAAAGTCCCCTACTTCCAGCCTCAAATTTATTTAAACAGCAAGTGTTTACATAAAAGACAAAACGTAATATATAAACATTTTTTACATTTTGAATTTTCATGCAAAAGTTTCATCTTCAACTTCCATTTTTTTCTTTAATTTTAGGGAAATAAAAAAAAAAAAATAAAAAAATCAACATGAAAGAATAATAGGTAGGAGACTGAGCATCAATCAAGCTGTTGATGAAGTCAGTCAGTGCCAATGATCAGAGTTCATTTTTGGCACTATTTTGAAAATATGCCAACTAGACAAACATTTATTCCTTTTCTATTCCATCTTTATTTCAACATGTTAAACTTTTTTTCTAAAATAGGGCAATCTGCCATTTTTCACCTTATTTAAATTGTATTCATAAACAATAAGTTACTTACCTTGACAATTGCAATCTTCATGAACTGGTTGCCCAAATCTACAGACATTACAGCTATACTTTCTGTTAAGAAAATAAAAAGATGACTTAGAATAAAGAAAGAAAATTTAAAGAAAGAAATAAAATATAGTAAATTTAATGAACAAAAATTGGAATGAACACAAGATCTTTTACAAAATAATATGCTAGATGAAGGGATATTTTATTTTTGCCTAAAAGTGGAAAAATAAATTATACATTGCAACGAAATAAAAAAAAATGTTCTGATCATGCTAACATGAATATAAAATTAATAAAATATTATTAGTTAAATCTTACTATTTGCCATTTTATTGCTTTTATAAAACAGGAAATAAATTTCTTTGTAACATCACCAGGATTTAAAAAAAGAAATTATAAATCATTAGCTTTTTTCTTTATCATAAAAAAAAATATCACATTTTTGTAGTTCAGAAAATGAAAGGTATCTCAGAATAAAATTCACTTTCTATGCAAGCAACACCAAATCACAGTATCAATAGTTTTCGATTTCCACTTCAGAAGCATTGACAAAATCCAGCTTAATATTAATTAAGTGAAGTAAGTATCTGAATATTAGTTGTTTGTCTTTTAATTTCTATTTTGAACATGCAGACATATGCAGTACTGTTGACAAAATATCTTGTTCTTTATTGGTATAAATATACAAAATTGAAGTCTAACTGCAGGCATTTCAACCTTGGGAAAGAAGATTTTTTTTTTTTTTTAAACACACAACTACACACACATTAGAAAATCAAACATTTTTTAGCATATAGAAACAAAAGAATATAGCTATATGGTTTATTTAAGTGATCCCTGCAAGTAAAGCGTTTATAAACTAATTGGTAATGGTGCTGTCAGAGAGACATTTTCAAGATTAAAGAATGGAAACTCAAATCTTGCTGGAGAATTATTCTTTATTTCCAATTCACAGTGCTTACTTAATGGTTATATAATGACAATATTAGAGCTGTGATAAACAGAAATAAATTAAAGTCTAGTCAAAAATTAATACTTCATTTAAGAAATACATAGACTTACCATATGTTTGAATTCTGACTTGGCAATTAATAATATACACAAAGCATTATATTTTAGTTTTTACTCAATGTTATTTATGGAGACAAGTGCAAAAGGAAGATGAAAGACTCTTCAAAAGATTATAGTGATTATAAGTGGGAAATGAAAAACTGCTTCTTTGCACAAAATATATACTATTTGAGCTTAACTTCAGTGTAAATTTTTGAAGCTTTTCATTGTTATGAATAGAATGTTTATATCAATAAGTTCTTACAAAATAAATTTAAAAAAATGAAAAAGAAAGCTCTTAAAATGTTTAAATGGTACAAATATTTTCTAGAATAGTAGAAATGGCTGCATGCCAAAGTGAAGATGTAAAGGCTCAATACAAAAAAAAAAAATGAGAACAAGTTTGGAAGCCAAGAAAATACTTTTAATAGGTGTATACAGAAAGAGAATGGTTGTGGGAGGAAAAAAAAAAAAAAAAAGAGAGATGCACAAGAACCCTAACAATTGATAAGAAGCAAAGACATCGATCTTACCTGATGATCTGATATGTATTGCCACCAAAAAGATTGAAAATAAAAATGTGGAGACAGTCATTACTGGTGATAGCTGCCTTTCAAACATTTTGACAGCACTGAAAGAAAAAAAAAAGTTTATCAAATGGGAGAGCAAAAAAATACCATATAAAAGATAAATTGATGTTAAAATAATTAAAAAAAAAAAAAGAAAAAAAAAAGCCAAATTTGATTTTATTTAAATTATGTTAGCAAATCAGCAAAGAAAAACTGCAGCATCTTTGTACCCACTGAACAAAAATATATTGCAATTATATCAAAATATTGATTCTGCTGTACTAGAATTATCTTCATTGCATTAGTGAGACCAGGTATCAGGGTTTTTGTTATAATGCAATTATATCAAAATATTGATTCCACTTCATAAAACGAGATTTAGATTCTTGAAGATGATTGATTCCAGTGGTATCAGAATGATCACTAAAAACATCCCTCCCAAAATTTACAGACAAATCGTACAGATGCATGCTGAGATTTCTTCCTAACTGGACCACTTTTCAAGTTAGGAAGTCAGAATGTTACAACTTTATCCCTTTTGCATGTGAATACCATTCTTTATAAACTTTTTGCCTTATTACTGTTATATATATATATATATATATATATATATACACACACACACACACACATATACACACTTAGTATTATTTTACCCTGTTCTTTTTGTCAATTATTTGCTGAACATTTTGCTGATTACACTTAACCATGGCCAATTACTTCACAAAGTCCAATAATACTGATTTTCAAATGTCAGTATATATATATATATATATATATATATATATATATATATATATATATATATATATAGAGAGAGAGAGAGAGAGAGAGAGATCATTATGTGTGCTACTGGTACCATGTAACCCAGTACTACTTGTTTCATAGTTGGGTCATTGGCAACTAAACCAGTACCTACACCATGCTTTTCTGGTAATGAGAGCAGCTGGACACTCAGCTGAATTAAAAACAAGACCTCTCAATGAGTAGATGAATGTACTTGTAGAATCAACAGACATCTAGAACAATGGATAGGCTTAATTCTGTAGCTATGTATGCAGCCAGTGCAGTGATAATACAGCATAAATCTTTATATATAATGAATTAAATGATATATATATCATATATTTCAATATGAATAAATGATATATATATATATATATATTATTCAATATGAATAAATGAATATATATATATATTTCAATATGAATAAATGATATATATATATATATATATATATTTCAATATGAATAAATGATATATATATATATATATATATATTTCAATATGAATAAATGATATATATATATATATATATATATTATATTTTAATATAAATGAATAAATATATATATATTTATTTTCAATATGAATAAATGATATATATATATATATTTTCAATATGAATAAATGATATATATATATATATATATAAATGATATTATATATATTTCAATATGAATAAATGAGATATATATATATATATATATAAATTATATATATATATTTCAATATGAATAAATGAATAAATATATATTTCAATATGAATGAAATATATATATATATTTTCAATATGAATAAATATATATATATATATAATATGAATAAATGAGATATATATATATATATAAATATTTATATATATATATATATTTCAATATGAATAAATGAGATATATATATATATATATTTCAATATGAATAAATGAGATATATATATATATATATATATTATATATTTCAATATGAATATATATATATATATATATATATATATATATATTATATATATATTTCAATATGAATAAATGAGATATATATATATATATATATATTTCAATATGAATAAATATTTTCAATATGATAAATGAGATATATATATATATATATATATTTTATATATATATAATAGGAATAAATGAGATATATATATATATATATATTTCAATAGGAATAAATGATATATATATATATATATTTATATTTCAATAGGAATAAATGATATATATATATATATATATATATATATATATATTTATAATAGGAATAAATGATATATATATATATATATATATATTTCAATAGAATGAATGATATATATATATATATATATATATATATATTTCAATAGGAATGAATGATATATATATATATATATATATATATTTCAATAGGAATAAATGATATATTTCAATAGGAATAAATGATATATTTTTCAATAGGAATAAATGATATATTTCAATAGGAATAAATGATATATTTCAATAGGAATAAATGATATATTTCAATAGGAATAAATGATATATTTCAATAGGATATATTTTTCAATAGGAATAAATGATATATTTCAATAGGAATAAATGATATATTTCAATAGGAATAAATGATATATTTCAATAGGAATAAATGATATATTTCAATAGGAATAAATGATATATTTCAATAGGAATAAATGATATATATATATATATATATATATATATATATATATATATATATATATCTTTCAATATGAATAAATGATATACATGAAAATTGTAGTTGTAATTTGTCATAAAATATTTGCTAATTTATAAGCCAGCAAATATTTTTTTATTGCCTGCCGAATTTCCACCAAGTCCAAGGATTGAACTCACAATGTGCAAGGTACTTGCACTCAATGAAAAAAGGGCAAGCAATAATTGAACAGTATAGACATGGGCAGTGGAACAAGAACAATCTACTCCTGTAGATTAAATGAAAGGGTTCAGTTTGAAATTCATTGTTAGTTACCCAGATCGACATACATCTGATGGAGACCATAGGGCACAATGACCGAAATGTTGTGATAGCAACAAAAGATGAGGACAATAAAGAGGTATAATTTTTTTTAAAAATTAAACAATTATGCTAATAAATCAAATTTCTTAATTTTACTAAACTGGGTTCTATTTAAAGTGTTTATTCTTTAAACTAAGTAAAAAAAAAAAAATTTTTTTTTTCATTTAAAAAATAATTAAGAAACACTTAAGATTAAATCTTTTTTTATTGTTATGAGCAACTCTGCTGAATTACCTAAAATTATCCCAAGAAATTATTTTAAGGAAATATGAACTATTGCTGAGTGATTTTATTTTTAAGACCCACTATTAATATGAACAGGTAAAGTTGAAATAAATCTATAATTATAGAACTTTCATAGGTTTTTTTCTTTATCTTAAATAAAATGAAAAAGCATTGCTAAATCTCCTTACCAATATCAAATAAAATTTCTTAAGCTTTGAAAGAAGGACATAGTTCAAAGTCATGTTATGAGCCAATTTGGTAGGAAAGATGGAGAAAATAGTCACAAAGGAATGTGTGTCCTGAATATAAGTCACAAATAAACAGTGTGAATGTGTGAGAGAGAGAGAGTATTCTCTCTCTCTCTCACACACACACACACACACCTTGAGAATATCCTTCTTGATGCTTGAATCTAGCTGCAAAAGTTGAGGCTATGCCCACAAGTTATGGAAACAATCCAAAAATTAAATTGCAGAAATTATCCCTGGAACAGAATACAGTCCAGTGAGGCTGAACAGGTGAACAATTTGGCTATTGCATGAAAGTGTAAAAGAGGTATTTACAAACAATCACCAAAATAAATAATGAAACACCTGGAAGGCAAGTTTTAAGAATGAATGCTTAGTTAGATAAGTTGCGATAATGAGAGGCAGGTGAGGTTTTTGTTCAACAGAAGTGAGTAGGCATCCTTTGAAGCAAGATGAAACTTATATATAGCAGATTATTGGACCTCTTTAGTTGCTTAACTAAGACAAGAGTTTATACTAGTAACTATCATTTAAACCAAATTTTAAAGAAATAGAAATAAATAGAACTCACAGCAGGATTCACTTTTAAGTATATATTTATCTTAGATATAAATCAGCATATTTTTTGATTGGCAACTTTCCAACTTTCAACCAACCAACTTGATAAAAAATTAATTTTTCAGTTTTTAGCAAAAATATACTGAATTTTAATTTATGCACTGTTCAATTGTCAAATTTAGTGATTTTAATGTTTACAAATTTTAGTTTTCTTACTATATTGTAAATAGCAGTTAAGCACATGCAAAGTACTTATTTTCCTTATTTACAAAAAAAAAATTTAATAGTGTTAAATGTAAACACTTGAACTCTAACTTCAGTAAGTCGATGTCCAATTCACAATAAGTTTATCAAATGCTAATTATAGTCAAGGTAGCCTGAATTTTGACTTATTACAAATTTCAAATTTTTAAATGCCATGTCCCTGTCCCTTCAAGATGTAGGAGATTAAGGATCTTCAAATTCTTTTCCCTTATCTGTGAATTGCCAGTCATTCTTGGGAATGATAACAGTGGTTTCCCATGGCCTTCTCCACAGTTTCGAATTCAGGATTTCCCTACTCTTCTAAATGTAAAAAAAAATATAAAAAAATCGGTAAAAAAAAAAAAAAAAAAAAAAAATCATAATTTCAGCTTATAAAATCTAACAAACATTTAAAATATTCTAAGGTTCTCCAGAATTAATTTTATACATATAAGAAAACAAAAATATTTTAATTTAAAAGTTAAAAACCTGAACTGCTAAAAAGACAGATACTGATTTTTTTTTTTATATTCAAGCAATTTTTTTTTTTATAGTATAACAAAATAGTTTCTGGTTTCTTAAATTTCTATTAATAGTGATTTTTTTTTTAACATCTCAGAAATTGTGTTTTATATGCAAGCAAAAGTTTATAAAGCATAAGACAATTCACGTGTCAGTGCGTGTATGTGCATGGTGGTTACTAGTAGAAAACATTTTTGAAATTAGGAAGAAAATCATATAATAAAACTGTAAAAAGTACCTAACTCAAAGCTACAAGATTTGACTCTGTTGAAGTTATCTCAGTAAGAAATACAAGATTTTTCCGTTAAATTTAAAATAAAATTTTCATTATTGGAAGCTTAAACTTAATTTTAAAATAAAATTCAAGAAATAAAGAATTAGATTAACCCAGCTCTAGTGCATTAGAGTTTATTAGCATCACCCTGATGCACATTTCATAAAATTAACACCCTGAACATCAGTAAGTAAACAATAAACAAAGTTATTGTTTATTTCCCAAAATCAATTTTTCAGGCATTTCAAACATCTATTATTTTTTTTTTTTTACATCATAATGAATTATCGCAAAAATAACTCGGTCACATAAAAAAAAACTGAACAGGTAATCAATCAATATTTTACTAGCGATCATAAAAAACTTTGAAACAATAAAATTAAGAAAATGTTCATTGTTGAATGTTGATGAATATATCAGGGTTTTTTTTACTTTTAAACTTTACTTAGGTACAGGTAACAAAAGAAAGAGTACAGTTCTGCCTTCAAAGAAAATGAGACTGCTGTAGGTTTTGCTAGAGTTTGAAATCAAGTGACCAATTTTTTTTTTTTTTTTTTAGTGGAGATGACAAGTTTCGGAATTGGAAGCTAATGACATGTAACGTTGTTGATGCTTAATCTCGTGTGTATATAAAAATTTTAAATATATTGAAATAATTTAAACATGAAAAAAAGAAAATGAATATTAAATAAAGTTAGAATTTGTAATGTTTTAATTAAAAAACATAGTGAATGTTATTCAATGCTAACCACTGAACCAACTGAAGAGGATTGAGCAAGAAATGAATATTTTTATATTTTTTTTTTTTTTTGGTGATTTTTGCTTCGTGTCTTTTACTAATAATGGCATTTAGAGAGCCTTCTGTATCTTTTTTTTTTTTTAAAACACGCGCGTTGGCTATGTGAGCAAAATATTGGAAAATCATAGAATCGGTTTCAAGAATAATCCTGACCATATTTCAAAGGACAGAGCAGGGATGAGAAAGCACAAATGTCACTCAGAAATCATTTTGGAAAATATTTTTTAAAAATATTGCTTAGGTTTAATTTTTTAAAAAAGGGGTAAGAAAAATTTAAACTGAAACAATTCTCAAAAGTTACCCCCCCCTCACTCCCTTCAGAGTTGGTTTGTAATCTAATCAGCTTTTTTTTTCATTATTGAAAGAATTCTGTCGCCTAATTCATTTTGTTATCGTCTTACCAAACCAAGGGTTATGGTTAATTTGCCGCTCATGCGGAATCCAAGGTACAAGGATTTATTTGTTTATTTTTTTTTTATTATATAAGCTTCCAAGTTCCAACGAATTTCAAAATCTTCATTATAGCAGGTACCAGCGTTTGCATAAAAAAGCCCCAAAGTGAGTCTGACAGACTTAAAAAAAAAAAAAAAAAACGAGAAAGCAAAAAAACTAAGAGTTATGAATTATTTTTATTTTTTACGAGGGATCAGCCGGCATGAAGAGGGTACGATGACGAATGACAAGATAACAAAACCAGAACTGGTTACGGTGCAGATCTGGGAGAAAGGATTTGCCGTAAAAAGAGTTCAACGGGTACGAGATTAGAGTTGGTTAGCGTAGAGATGGTTATAAAAAGATTGGACCCAGAGGCAAGCAAGCTTGCCATCCAAGGAAGACGGAGGGACACGTTAGAGACTAGTAGACTACAGTTTTATTCTTGAATCAACTCATTCTTTCTGATCAAGTGAAAGGTAAAAGCGAGAAGTTTCCGTTTCTATATTTATTTCACAGATAGCAAAACTGAAGCACAGTGGCTCAAGAGAGATAGGAAAAGGCTTTTTTTTAATTTTTTTGAAGAAATTTGGGTTTTAAGTGATAAAGGAAAAAAATAGTATCAATCAATACAGAGACAATCCTTTTTTTTATGCACCAACATAGGGATCTTTAGTTCTTTGAATAATTTTCTTTAACATTTATCATTTTTTTTTCGTGTTCATAAACAGCGAAGCACATTTTTTTCCGAGTCTTCTTGGGAAAGGATTTAAAAACCTAAATGAGAGTAATTTTTTTTTTATTGTACACACACTATACAATCCCTTTTTTTTTATATATATATATATATATATACAAGAAAAAAAATAGCAGGGGATAAAAAATCCAAACTGTAAAGTTTATGGCTGTAAACTTTTATTAGCAATTATCTTCGGAGGTAATACCCGGAAACAGTAACAAGAATGACATTTTTCTTCAACTACACTACTAATGAAAAATACACCTGAATTGTTTATATATTATAATATTATCTGAATGAGTTCAACATTCACTCTCACAGCTGTTTCCACAAAAGAAAAGAAGAGGTTGGAAATTATACAGCAAGGCATTTATAAAGCTTGTTTTGCTAAAACTAGCTTAAAAAATAAATTAAATTTTTGGCTCATTTTTTAATCCTCTAAGGGATTATCATTCATGAATAATACAAAAATACATTTTTCTGAAATTTAAAAATGCTTTCATATTTAATTCGTCAAATAAGAAATAGTTAATTCTTAATATTTGCAATCAAATCAAAGATAGATAAATGAAGACAGAAGAAATTAAACGGAGTTTTAAAAAAAATAAAAATAAAAAGTTTAACGAACCGGCATTTTAGAAAAGAAAGAAATACATATATAATTATTAATCTTCATTTATGGTGACACGAGAAAAATTGAACTATCTTTTCTTTAGATTATTATTTTAAAAAATTAAAATTCAACAGAATAGATTGAAAGATTGAACTTATTTAAAAGAACTTGTTAATTTTTCATAATAGTCATTGAAAAACCATACAAGCTTTTTTTTTATTTCAAGAAAAAATAAAGCCGGGTTATGACCGAAATAAAAATTAAAATGAAGAAAAAGTAAAAAAAAAAAAAAGGAAGACAAGTACTAATCATTGATAATAAGCCACATATAAATATAAAAGGTCTCATTTTATCATAAAGGTACAACATTAAATGACGACTTTATCAATATTTTTTAACAAGGCTTCTAACTCTCACATCTTTATTTTTTCTCCACAAGTCTAAAAGCTACTTTAATATGCGGCAGATTGTAGTGTGCGAAACACATTTGTCGTTCACTCACCTTCAAGGAGCTAGCGATGGTATTGAATATTTGTTTGTTAGCCAATTGTAAACCAAAAAAAGAAAACTCGTCTCCAAATTCAACCTTAGGAAGTGAATCGCGTCCACCGCTGTCCAAGAAGTTAGCTGTCAGTGTGTCTGAGTTTGAGACTAAACATCCCATCCATGTGGCGCATTCCCATTGGTCAATCCACTGGAGCCGGTTTACGTCACACTGGAACTGCATTACGGAAGATCAACAGCGTAACATTTTGTTTGTATCAACATTTTGGGGATAATGTTGGTTTGTGTAAACTGATATTTTAGCGTATCTTGGACGGGCAACAAGGTCGAGATTTAATATATATATATATATATATATATATATATATATATATATATATATATATATATATATATATATATATATATATATTCTGTCTGTATTTCTGGGATGAGAATAATTTACATTATTCCCGCATATATATATTCTCTCTGAATTGATTATTCTCTTAATCTTTGTTGTTGTTATTTTGATAATAAAAACAAAGATGTGTAAATAACATAAATAATATATGTGTGTGTGTGTTGTGCACAAAGTTCAGATAGAGTATACCTGTAAAAGGACAATATGAATAAAGATAGAATGAAATCTTATCTTAGCCAACATGTTTTGTCTTTTGAGAGACTTCATCAAGGCAGATGCAAAGATTTTATTTTATAACAAAATCCTTGCATTTATGTGTTTCTATGATATATAATAATATCCAAAACAAAAGGTAAGACGATGAGACAAAGTGGAAAATTTATACTATGTCTATTTTATTGGAATAAACAATAGCAGTAACAACAATGGTGATACACATAATATAGAAGACATGGGTAGAGAATTCTAAAAAGTTTATTGCAAAAAAAGACGTTACCGGTTATCTTGGGTATACACAATGTTAGTGAACTGTGCTGAAAATATACAATTCTAGGCCAATAACAAGATTGATGATTGATTTTTCTATGGCTTATCAGTCTTTTGCAGGTTATTTAAAGCCAAAACATATTTTTAGATTATAAGTATTCTTTTTAAAGATAATAATGATTTGATAATACAAATGTTACTAAATAACCCATAGTTGGGGGAGAAGAGATAGCATTGTGGATTATCTCAGAACAGAACATACTTGAACTTTATAGACATATTGGCAAAATAAAATTCTCCCAATCCAGAGGAGGTTCTGTGAGTTATCCCACTTTTAATTGCAAAAAGTGCTTACTAGAGGGCACTCTTTAAGCTTATAAATAGATAATTATTTTCTCTTTCTTTCTCTTTTTGCTCTTTTTTTAGCTCTGGCTTTCTGATGTAGTTGTATGTAGATACAAGTACTGCTACTGAAGTGTGTTCACTTTGGTCCTCTTTTGACTTATGAAATCTCTCACACATGCATGTACATATACGTGTCTATCACACACACACGCAAACAAGCACATTCTTCTTATAGCTAGTTTCATGTCTTTTTCTTACATTACAATTATCCATGCATGTAATTCCTTTTGTTAATAACATGCATTGTCGTTTGTTTTACACTCATTATTTTTTACCACCTGCAACAAATGGTGACCACAATGTGATATTTTCTCTTGAATGCAAAAACACACAAAACTATAAACAAACTCAACTATAAATCAATTAGACAGTTGAGAGCCAGTGAAGAAATACTTTGACCAACTTCTCTCTCTACAATACCATGCGGGCACAAAATCTTTTCCTTACAACAAAATTTCTAATTAAACCAGATGTAAAGAGCAAAATCACAAATTTCAAGATGCCCAACTATGTCTACAAGATAAAGCAACTATCATACAATAGGGAACACTGAATCACCAAAATTTCAGTAATATTTAACATTTGTAAACAAAAAATTACTAATAGCCATTATAACTAATCCATTTTAATACCTTTGTCTAGGTCAGCAGGTGAGCAATACTCTCTTCATCTTTACTGCTTTTACTTGGCCCTTTTTTTCACTTAATCACAATCATGCCTGACTTGACCTCCACTGGCAGACATAAAATTTAAATATGATTTTAATGAACACATGAAGACTTTTCACCAAGCAGAAATATACAACTTTCATCTAACAACTTTTAAACAGAACTCATTTTCTTCAAGAATACAACACAAAAAATTCACAAAGATACCAATGTGGACACACAAGAGTTCTTTCATGTTGGTTTTTTAGTTGATTTTGTTTAGTGACATAGCAACCTCTATGGATTATTTAATACCAAAATCTAAATAATTTGAATGCAATTGTATACCTTCAACTACAGATAAGATGTATTGTTGATCATTTATTTTACACATATAAAAATGTATTGCTGTATTTTTTACTATAAAAATGTATTTTTATACTTTCATAGTGTTTTATTTGGGGGATCACTATCTGCCCATAGCAGGACCCTAACAGGTGCTACCACCTCAGGTCAGGGTGACCTGGGAACAGCAATGATTAAGAGGTAGGTCTGTACTTCTCAAAACCTCCAATCTCCTGATCAGAGGACTTTCCGCCAGATGTAGTTTTATCATCATTCTTTGGATGAAGTGTTTCTTGGGTCTTGAGGTTTAGTAGCTGAATGCAACTGTGAATTTGTTGTCTCTAGAATCACTAGTAATAAGCTGTGTTTGAATCCGAAATTGTTCACTCTTCCCATGGGGTCAGGAATTTGGGCAAGGAGTGACAATATGTCATGAAGGCAGTAATATTTGACATTGCTTGTGAGTTATTCCAGCTCCTTAAATATGCCAAAACATCAATTTCAAACAAAATAAAATATCTCTAATAAGTGGATTCCAATTTAAAATAAAACTGAATTAACTTATAATTTATGGAAAAACATAAAATTTACACAGAATTTAAAACATAAATAAAATTATTAATCTGGAAAGTTTCAGTTTTTAAGTATGTATATTTATTAAGTTATAAGAAATGTTATACTCTTCAAGTAATACACTTTAGGATAGATTTGAGCATTTTTCTGTTAAATATTTGCATGCATTTTGTGTTTATTTTGACATCTGTGCATGAAATATAAATAATAGGCTAACGTATCAAGTAGTCAGTAAATAAGAGTCTGCATGATAGTCTTGGTATCAGCTGGATGTAACTGTCTGAGTTGAAGTCAGTAAGACATCTTCCTGTGTTGTGTCTATTTCTTGATGTATGAAAACTGTTTTCATAAGAAGAAACTAAACTAAAAAAATTTTTTTTGTAAAGCATCTCAACAATTTCTGGGATATAAACATTTTGGATTTACATTTTACCTGACTTCTCCTCATTTTCTTTATGGATGAGTTGAATAATTTTACAAGGACAAATTTTCACCTCCTCAAGTTTCCACACATGTATAATAAGTAGCAATGGAATAAATTATGATTTTAATAGCACTTACTTCACTATAATATAATTCATTTTCTTTTCTAAATGAATGAAAATATTATTTATATTTTATTAATAAATACATTTCCTTGAAATTTTTCAATAAAACTAAATAATAACTTAAACTAGTCCTACTAATTATTGTTTAGTACAGATGACACAGTACAGACAAAAACCATTTCTTCATTCAAATTTAACAATTTAATTCGTATTAATTAAATAGTTTAAAACAATATTCATTTTATTAAAAATACTACTTATTTCATTACTAAATAAATTAAAATATTACTAATTTTAATTAAAATACATTTTTCCACCAACATAAATTTTCTATGCAATATGAAGATGCTTGTGGGGTTCACTCACATCATAACAGAAGAAATTAGCTTCATGTTCATGGAGATAAAAGCATACTTGACAGGAAATAAAATATACACAAATGACAGGAAAAGCATTGTAAATTATATGTTAATTTCATACAATTTATTTATATCTTTTGTGTGTATTGGTATGTATATTTTTTAGGTTACAATTGTTTTATGGTACATGTGATGGAAGGGAGAATTTATTCCATAGTATTACAAGCCATATCACAGAGAGAAGTTACACACATGTTGCCCATACCAAAGTTTGTGGTGAAGAGATTGAATTTAATGTCTTTTGACAGCATGTCCGTGTTTCCTGCAGGAACAGTTTTTGTTGCATGCTGGGAGTATTTTTTATTATTTTTATTTTTTATTTAATTTATTTCATACAATGTTTTTCTGTTATCGTTTTATTTTATTTTCTTTATAATTTTCATTATTATTATTTTATTTTTATTTATAATAATAATAATAATAATAATCCTACATGCTTTACAGCACAAATACATTAATGCTTGATTACAAATCCTTAGTAAATGAACTCAAGTATTTGTTTAATGACAATGATTTTTAAAAAGTGCAAATGAAGCAATTGCATTTTAGAGTTACTTTATAAAATAAGATTCTTGTTGTGCTATGTCTGAAACTGTTAAACTCATACAACTTTTCCTGGCCATTCCTGCAACTCCAGTTGCAACCAAAAAAAGCTTCTTAACTTTGGACAGAAATTGATTATGCTTAAGATGCACAATGATGAAAGACCGTTTGACTTCACTAATTAGAGAATAGATACTAATTGATTTCGAACAAAAAAAGAATAATTACATGCCAAGATATTGAAGGAATTTGCTATAAAAACCAAGGCATTTAAAATTCATGTTTAAATGAAGTGTTTATTTCTTATAAAAATTTATGCATTTTTACTGTTAATGTGCAGTTCCTGTTCCCTGTAAATACATTGCTGATTTTACTATAGAAAAGCATTTTATATGATTTTATGGAGTTTGGTATGTTTCGGCATAGCCCATTTGGCATCGCTTATTTGATGTCAGAAAAATAATTGGACTATTTGACACAGCTGTTTTGGCATCAGACTGTTTCAACATCACTGTTTTTGACTGGAGGCACCCCCACCAAAAAGGATAAAAGCATTGAAAATGCCTAACTTTCGATATGACTTTTTATTCATTTAAGGAATTAAGGATCCTATTAAAACACTAATGGAATAAAGTAAATTAAAATCTTAAATTAAAAATATTGTATTTAAAAAAATTAAAAACTTAGTAAAGCTATTTAATCTTAGAAATTAATTCTTTATTTCATAATTATGAGCAACACTCTTCAGGAACTCAATAGGATCTAATGATTCAACTTCCATTATGACTTTTCTTTGCATCAAAAATGAAAAGGTATCCACCGTGTATCATTTTGTTTCTTCCATATTTTAATAA